CAGAGCAGTTTTAGGGAGTCCATGGGGCAAAGAACTTGCTTGGGGGTCAGAAGAAGTAAAAAAAAAAATTTAAAAAATGGGGCGATTTGCTTTTTCAAGAGGGAAAGGGATGGGGCCAGAGGGCCAAGCAGTGGGGTTCAAGGGCTTTCGTGGCACTGGGTGTGTGGACGCTGTGCTAAGAGCTGATGACCGGGGAGCTGGCCCAACACCTATCCTCTGCCTGCACCCACGGGAGGGGCCCGGCGCCCAACAGGGACCCACACAGGCGGCCCCGCCCCCAGCCTGGGCTCTGATGGGCCCTCACCACGTGCCCTGGCTCTGCCCTGACCCCCCCCCACCCCACCCCCCGCCTCCGAGGGGAGTGGGAGCCCTGAGCCGGGCAGAGGCCCCGAGCCCTGATGGGCGTGGTCCGGGCAGCTGGCATCCTTTTAAAGGAGCACCCTGTGCTGTCAGTCACCCCCTTTTCATTAACCGCCTCAGGAAACACCCAGCGGCTGGCGGATAGGCAGGCCAAACCCCAGTGGGGGCGGGGCGGCAGCGCGCGTGACTGCCTGGGGAACTGCAGCCGGAGGGAGGCGGGATGTGTCTGTGGCTCCTGGCCGCGCTTCTGAACATGACAGCGCATGACTATCTGCTTCCCTTCCGCAGCCTGTCCATCCGGGGCTCAGCCAGCAGGGGCTGCTGCCTCTGCTTTTCTAGAACCGGGGGGCCCAGAGCGGGAGGGCAGGCGTGGGTGCCGGGGTGTCACAGGGCATTTCTTATCAGGAGAGGCGGCGAGTGCAATGTGTGCTCAGTGACCCGAAAGGGTTTGAAGCTCGTGTCACATTTTCCTAAACACACATCCACACATGGGTGGGGAGGGGGGCAGGGAGCCTCTTTGTCAGACCAGGTCCTGGCAGGCAGCCCAGGCGGCCCGCACACCTGCCGGCTGTGCCCAGGGGAGGTGCCAGAGCCTGCCAGCCAGCACCGGGCCGCTCCCTGCCCGCTCCCCTCGGCCTGCCCAGGTGGCCGGGAGGCCGTGCTGTCGAGGAAAGATGCGTTCGGAACGTTGTCTGCACCAGGAGGGGGGCGGGGTGTCCCCTGGGGAGTCCGCGGGGCCAGGGCTCCTTCCGCTCTGGCTGTCCGGCCTGTGCGTCTGGCAGGACCCTCCTCTGGCTGGTGCCTCCGTCGCCCAGCGCCTCGGGGCCCTGGCTCTGGTCTCATGGAGGCCGCTCCCTGCGTCTCTGGCTCTCCAAGGCCAAGTGCACAGCAGCCTGAGACTGCGGGCCACAGAGCCGCGAAGCCTGCCGCCTGACTTCCGGCCTGACTTCCGGCCTGAGGGGTCACCATGGCAGCAGCTTCCTCGGGGACCCCAAGCCCGCTGTCCTGCTGCGGGAAGCTCGAGGGCACGGAGCCGCCAGGGGCACCGGTGCACCAGCACGCCGAGCCCGCGCGGACCAGACAGGTGTCAGCCGAGCTGCCTCGGGGGACCCCCTGACCAGGAAGAAGCACCTACTTAGGAAGCCCAGTCCCTCCCAGGAAGTCACAGCAGACAAAGGGCCGATGGGGATTTGAACGGGAGGGGGAGGGGGAGAGTGATGGACTCGGGTCGCCGTGCGGGGCCCAGGCTGAGAAAGGTCCCAAGGGGGAGCGAGGGGGCTCCACTGGGAGGAAGTTGCAGCCCAGCAGGTGTGGCTCCGGGGCCGAGCACTGACCTATGAACCAGGAGGTCACAGTATGATTCTGGTCAGGGCACAGGCCTGGGTTGCAGGCTTGATCCCCAGTGTGGGGCGCTCGGCATTGATGTGTCTATCTCTCCCCCCCTCCTGTCCTCTCTGAAATCAATAAAAATCCTATATAATAATAGAGGAATATGCAAATCGTCCAGGACACCATAAGGTCACGACTGCTCAGCAGGCGGCATGCACAGCAGGTGGGGTGGGCGAGCCTTACAGCGTTGGGACATTGGGGACGGGGTGGGGCTGCAGCAGGGGGGTGGGGTGAGGGTTAGACAGGCACACACAGAGGGAGGCCTCTGCTGCAGACCCGCCCCCTGGGGGTCCGCAGGTCTCCCCCGGCTCTGGCCTACCTCTTTGGGCCAATCCATCCAGGAGCTCCCGATGGGTGGGCGGGGCCTACCTCTTTGGGGCCATGGATCTTGGGGTTCCCGCACTATGACAGGGCACAGGCCAGGATCCCCCCCACACACACACCCTGCCGAGTGCGTGAATTTTGTGCACCAGGCCACTAGTATATTTAAAACAGAAGCTGCAGAATGTTCCAGCCCCGGGGTCCTGAGACTCAGCCTCCCAGCACAGCCCGTTTGCTCACACTGGCTCCCGGTGTTCCCAGCACAGAGCTCTAGCTTCTGCACCTGCACCAGGCCCGGCGCTCGGCGGGCGGCCGCCCATCCTGGCCTCGCTCTGGCTCGGCAAGCTCGCTCTCAGGACCGTGCAGCTGCGAACAGGCCCGGGGGCTGGGACCGCGGGCCACCCCCGAGGCCACGCCGCTCCAGTGGCCGCAGGCGCGAGGGGAGGACGGCCTGGGGCTGCGGGCCTCCATGGCTGAGCTGGTGACCTGACCCGCTGGCCTCGCTCGGGGCGGAGGGCACAGCCAGAGGTCAGAGCAGCGAGCCCGGAGCTGAGCACAGCCGTGACGCCCGTGTGCGGGGTGTGTGTGCCGGGTGTGTGTGTGCGGGGTGTGTGTGTGTGGGGTGTGTGTGTGCGGGGTGTGTGTGCGGGGTGTGTGTGTGCGGGGTGTGTGTGTGCGGGGGGGGGTGGTGCGGGGTGTGTGTGTGTGCGGGGTGTGTGTGTGCGGGGTGTGTGTGTGCGGGGTGTGTGTGTGGGGTGTGTGTGTGCGGGGGGTGTAGTGTGCGGTGGTGTGTGTGTGTCGGGTGGGTGTTGTGCGGGGTGTGTGGTGTGCGGGGGTGTGGGGGTGCGGGGTGTGTGTGCGGGGTGTGTGTGTGCGGGGTGTGTGTGTGTGCGGGGTGTGTGTGCGGGGTGTGTGTGTGCGGGGTGTGTGTGTGTGCGGGGTGTGTGTGTGCGGGTGTGTGTGTGGGGTGTGTGTGTGCGGGGTGTGTGTGCGGGGTGTGTGTGTGTACGGGGTGTGTGTGTGCGGGGTGTGTGTGCGGGGTGTGTGTGTGTACGGGGTGTGTGTGTGCGGGGTGTGTGTGTGCGGGGTGTGTGTGCGGGGTGTGTGTGCCGGGTGTGTGTGTACGGGGTGTGTGTGCGGGGTGTGTGTACGGGGTGTGTGTGCGGGGTGTGTGTGTGCGGGGTGTGGGGGGGGTGTGTGTGTGCGGGGTGTGTGTGGGGGTGTGTGTGCGCGGGGTGTGTGTGTGCGGGGTGTGTGTGCGGGGTGTGTGTGCGGGGTGTGTGTGCGGGGTGTGTGTGTGCGCCAGGTGTTGGCGGGGGGGGAGAGGGGGGAGAGGTGTGAGCCCGCTGGGTGGGCTCACGTCCCTGAGGACTGTCTCGTGCACAGGGTTATGTGGAGGTAGAAGCCACCTGGGCATCGATGCCCCACGAGGCACTCATGTGCCGGCTGATTGGAAACACTCGCAGCTTAATCAGTGAATGAGTTTCCGCACCTGTTGGTCCCCCCGGGGCACCTGGCCGGCTCTCTCTGGAAGAACCGGCTCTGGAACATCCCATTGTTCCCTTTCCCGCCACCCAGGCCCCCAGAGGCTGCTGTCCCAGCTCGGCGGGAACACAAGCACAGAGAGGCCGGGTGCCCCTGGCCAAACCAGCCAGCGGTGAGGGCCCCTGCGCACTGAGGGGAGAGGCTGGCGGCTCCCTCTGCCCGCTGCCCGGCCTCACCGGGAGGAGCTGAGGCAGGGCCTGGGGGAGGCGGCGTTGAGCCGTGAGCGCCGAGCGGAGGGGGGAGCGCGGTCTGCAGACCAGCTGCTCGCTCCCAGCTGGCTTCGGTAAAAGACAGAACATTCCTGGTGCCATCTGTTGCCGGCGGCGCCGCGGGCCGGGGCTCCAGACCCCGTGCCAGGCCGGAGCCAGCTGCCCCGGGCTATTTTGGGAAGCGGCTCTGCTCCTGCACCTCCGCCTTCGAGGCATTTCCCACGTCACTCACTGGGAGCGGCTGCCCGCCTGCCCCGCCTGCCAGCTCCCCGCCCGGGCACGGCCTCGGCTGCGGGAAGACCCGCTTCCAGCTCCCGCCGCCCGATGTCTGGGCTGGAGGGCAGGGAGGCAGGGAGAGCCAGGGTGCTGGGTGGCAGGCGACATGGAGGGAGGGGTCCCTGCACCCCCTCAGTCTCCTTTGGGGGAGCCACTCCTTCTGCCTACCCCCAGGCACCGGGCCCCCAGGCGTCCTCCCTGTCCAGCGCCCATGCCTCCTCCCTTCTCTCCTCAAGGACGTCTCCCGCCTATGAAGGACAGGTGCCGGGTGGCCGGGCGGACAGCGTCAGCGTGGAGAGCTGGGGTGGGGCAGGGGACAGACGGGGTCCATGGGGAGGTCAGAGCCGGCACCTCCTGGGGACAGACTGCGAGACTGAGCCATCCCCACCCACCCAAGCTGTAGTGGCCATGGCTCCCGATTTCACCACGGGGTGGCCTGGCCTCGGGGCCTCGGGGCCTCGGCAATAACCGGGCTCACTTCCCCGCGTGGCTCGGAACGTGGGTGTGGATCACGTGGGCCCCTGCCGCTGGACGGTGATCCTGGCACCGTCTCCCTGGGCGGAGCGCTGAGCGAGGGCAGGCCGGGCCTCTGGCCATCGCCCTGACACCGGAGAGCCTGCTGCCCTCCAAGCCAGACCTCGAACCCCAGTGCGGGTGACCTGGCCGGGCCCTGGCTGCCCTGGGGTGGGGGGAGGGCCCGCCAAGGGCACAGGCGCACCTCCATGGCAGCCCTGTGGGGAGCAGGCTGTGCCTGGGTCACCTCGGGTATATGCACGTCACGCCCTCCAGGGACCCCGGCAGGCTCCCCAGACCCTCCCAGAAACACTTGTGCTGGAATAAAGCGAGCGAGGCCGGAGGCTGGCTCAGAGCGGATTGAGGTCTCTGGGGTCACAGCTGCTCAGGCAGAGGGACACGGGGGTGGGGGTCGAGCGCGGGCCCGGGCCCGGGAAGCGGCTGGGCGGCAGCGGGGGGCGGTGAGGTCAGCTCGGGGGGCCCCGGGGTCCCCGGTCCGTGCCGTCCTTCAGCTTGTGCTTGCAGAAGAGGCTGTAGAGCACCCGCAGCGTGCTCTTACTGTCCTTGTTCACGATGTCTGTCCGGGGAGAGAGACCGCCGGTCAGCCCGGACGGGGTGGCCATCCCCGTGTGGGCCCCAGGGCTGTGCGGGGACTGGGGCCCCAGTGCTAACTCCCCGGGCAGCTGGGCATGCTCAGCCCGAGTCCCAGGTGGGACCCACCGCACGGCCTGCCCTCCCGCCGCCCCGTCCTCCCCACCCCTCCTCCGGGGCAGCTCGACCTCCGGGCCTCACCTCTGCGGCCGCCCATCACCAGGGCTCGTCCCCCACCTCCTCCCCGGGACCCTCCCCCACGGGGTGAAGCCACACTGCCCCCCACAGCGCAAGCGGCTGGGCGCACCACAGGCCCTGTCTGCCCGCACACCGCCCGCCCCCTCCCCACCGCCCCTGGCCCTGCTCACCTTCCGGGCGGACGGGGCAGTCGAGCAGCCCTTCCTCCTTCAGCAGCTCCAGGGCCAGGGTGACGTTGTGCAGCTACAACGACAAGACCCACAGACGCTGGCAAACGGGGCAGCCCTGGCCCAGCCCCGGCCCCGTGGCAGGCCCCCCTCCCCCACCACGGCCAACCACGCACTGGAGGCCGCCTCTAGTGGGAATGCGGCCCCTGCGGAGAGCACCCCGGGGGCCCGCCAGTCAGGGAGGGCTTCCTGGTGGAGGCAGCCTGGAGGTAAGGCTGCCATGGGAGGGGCTTAGCCAGGGGTGGGAGCACCGGTCCCTGCTGGCCTCGTCTGAGGTCTCCCGGGGCCCTGCGGGTGGCAGACGCCCTCAGAACCTACGTTTCACCGGCAAAGCATGGACGAGGGGCCCCAGGCTGCTGGAGGCCACGGGGATGGTCTGAGCTCACAGGACGGGAGGGGCTGGAACCAGGGGCCTCGCTCTGATGCCGAGCACAGCAGGCTGGAGAGGGGGGTGGGCGAGGGGGCCCGCCAGGCCCAGGCCTCCGGGGCCCTGACCCCGGCTTGGCCGCTGGATGACCGGGAGCAGGGAGCAGGGCGCTCGGTCCCCGCTCCCCTTACTCACCGGCGGAGTGGGGTCCCACCCCTCCCTGTGTCCTCATAGGGGATCCTGGGTGGGGAGCCCTGTCGGCCCCAAGCTCAGAGCAGATCCTGGGTCCGGGTCACCTCCCTTCCCACATCTCGTCTCTCCCCTGGGCCTCCGGACCGTCAGGTGGAGCTTACCCTTCCGTGTGGGCAGCGGAGAGAGGGGTGGGGGGAAGTGGGACAGCAAGCCCTAGAGCTGGCTGAACCCCCGGTTCACTGGGACCCCCAGCAGGTCCTTCCTCCCAGGGTCTCAGCACCCCACAGTCCCCTGGGGGCTGGACATCCCAGACTGGTGGCCGGCCTTCCCAGCCCTGCCCACAGCAGGCAGCACAGATGCCAGGCAGTTCCCATGACAACCCAGCCAGGGCGGAAGGCAGGGCCAAGCGGGGAGTCCAGCCTCACCCAGGCTGCCTCTGGTCACCTGGGAGGTCCGGGCAGGTTGAGTCTGGAGATCTAGGTTGGATGTCTGTGTCACCCCTCTGGGTCAAAGGTCACAGGTCAGACAAGTCCCGGGGCCTGGCTGGGCTCAGTCCCTCATCTGGGCCGTGGAAAAGCCCACCTTCCTGCCTGCCATTCCCAGGCTGCTGAGGGGTCGGTGGAGACCACACCCACTGAGGGCAGAGACCACGTCTGTTGGAGGCAGGTGCAGAGGGATGAATAGCAGGCCCGGATGTGAGGAGAGGGGCTAAGGGACCTGGATAAATCGATGGATGGATGGATGATGGGTGGATGGATGGATGGATGGATGGATGGATGAATGGATGGATGGATGGATGGTTAGATGGATGGATGGATGGATGGATGGATGGATGGATGGATGAATGGATGGATGGGTGAATGGATGGATGGATGGATGGATGGATGGATGGATGGATGAATGGATGGATGGGTGAATAGATGGATGGATGGATGGATGGATGGATGGATGGATGGACAAGTGGGTGGACAAGTGGGTGGATGGATGGATGGATAGATGGATGGATGGATGGGTGGATGGGTGAATGGGTGGACAAGTGGGTGGATGGATGGATGGGTGAGTGGGTGGATGGATGGATGGATGGATATGTGGATGGATGGATGAATGGATGAATGGATGGATGGATGGATGGATGGATGGATGGATGGACAAGTGGGTGGATGGGTGGGTGGATGGATGGATGGATGGATGGGTGGATGGGTGAATGGGTGGACAAGTGGGTGGATGGATGGATGGATGGATAGGTGGATGATTGGATGGATGGATGGATGGATGGATGGATGGATGAATGGGTGAATGGATGGATGAATGGATGGATGGATGGATGGATGGATGGATGGACAAGTGGGTGGATGGGTGGGTGGATGGATGGATGGATGAATGAGTGGATGGATGAATGGGTGGACAGTGGGTGGATGGATGGATGGATGGATAGGTGGATGATTGGATGGATGGATGGATGGATGGATGAATGGGTGGACAGTGGGTGGATGGATGGATGGATGGATAGATGGATGATTGGATGGATGGATGGATGGGTGAATGGGTGGACAAGTGGATGGATGGATGGATGGATGGATATGTGGATGGATGGATGAATGGATGGATGGATGTATGGATGAATGGGTGAATGGATGGATGAATGGATGGATAGATAGGTGGATGGATGGATGGATGGATGGATGAATGGATGGGTGGGTAGGTGGACAGGTGGATGGATGGATGGATGAATGGATGGATGGGTGGATGGATGGATGGATGGGTGGATGGATGGGTGGATGGGTGAATGGATGGATGGGTGGATGGATGGATGGATGGATGGATGGATAGATGGGTGGATGGATGGATGGATGGATGAATGGATGGATGGGTGAATGGATGGATAGATGGATGGATGATGGATGGATGGGTGGATGGATGAATGGATGGATGAATGGATGGATAGATAGGTGGATGGATGGATGGTGGATGAATGGATGGATGGATGGATGGATGGGTGGATGAATGAGTGGGTGGGTGGGTGGACAGGTGGGTGGATGGATGGATGGATGTATGGATGGATGGATGAATGGAAGGATGAATGGATGGATGGATGGATGGATAGATAGATGAATGAATGGATGGATGGATGGATGGATGGATGGATGGATGGATAGGTGGATGGATGGATGGATGGATGGATGGATGGATGGATGGTTGTGCTGGTGGGTGGATTGGTGGACAGGCAGATGAGTAAATGGATGGATGGATGGTGGAAGGGAGGAAGGGAAGGATGGGTGGGCAGCAGGTGAAGGGTTTAATTAATTGGGTGAATGAGTGAACCGGAAAGTCAATAGATATGTGTGCGGGTGGTGGGAGGGGGAGTGGATGAGAGGCCCCTCGGCAAACACACGTTCTCCCCACGCTTCACGGCACTGGAGGTGAGGGAGCAAAGACGGCTGTGCCCACTGCACAGATCCGTTTACCCAGAGGCAGACCTCAGGGACGGTCTGGACACTCACCATCTCCGCAGGGGAGTTGGGCGTGAGGTGGAATTCCTTCAGGTTCAGGAAGAAACCTTCCAGCTGTCCAATCAGCAGGAGTAAGATGACGCCATCTGCAAACTGCAGAGGGGGGTGTTGGGCACAGGGCCTGGGGGTCTCGTTCTCCTTTCCCAGGCCCAGCTGCCCTACCAAGCTCACACAGCCTCTCTGGGCCTCAGCTTCCGGGTCTGAGAAATGGGGCCGTGTCCCTGACCTTGAGGCATTGCTGTGAACGCAGCCACAGCAGGTTCGGAGCGGCTCTTGGTGCCAGCACTCCTGTGTGCTGAGGAGAAGGCGCTGTTCTCCAGGCAAAGAGCCCCTTATTGCGTGTGAAGCCGCACACGGGCCCAGCAGCTCCGGAAGCTCAGGAGCGAGCGGAGTTAACAGTAAAATTGTTCCCCGGGGAGGAGGCACAGAGCAGCACGCTCCCCGGCGGCCGCCGCATTAGTATTCCTGCCGGTCCCGCCTGTGTGCGCGGAGATAAAGCGCGTCCTGGCACCGGCGTGTCCCATGCTAATGCGGCCAGCCAGCGCTTCAAAGAGACAGAACGCGCCTGGGTCTCGGAGGAAGGCCCCCCTTCCGTGGGGCCTCTGCAGGGCCTGGCTGGCCTGGACTCCTTCCTGCTGGTACACCCTGGTGGTGCCACCAGACACCAGCCCTCCAGAGCCCTCTGCCCACCGCCTCTAACCGGCCTGGCCCATGCCACCCTCCCCGGACACCGCCGCTGTCCCAGGGGAGAGAGAGGGAGAGGGGGATGCGAACCCCAGAGCCACCCACCTGGGTGTCCAGGTCCTGCACGGACAGGCCCAGGCGTTCCACCTTCTGGTTGACGAAGGTCACGATGGCCTGCCCGGGGAGAGCAGGGACCAGCCGGGGCTCAGGGCGCCACCTTCCCCCTCAGGGGACAGGAAGCCCCCTCGACCCCCAGCACCCAGCACCGCAGGTGTGGGCCAGGGCCCCGACTCTTCTCCGTTATCCCCTGGCAGGTCCAGTGGATGGACGGGCGGCTGGGTGGGTGGGTGGGTGAATGGATGGATGGGTGGATGGGTGGGTGGGTGGCTGGGTGGCTGGGTGGCTGGGTGAATGGATGGATGTGTGGATGAGTGGGTGGGTAGATGGGTGGCTGGGTGGATGGATGGATGGATGGATGGATGGATGGATGGATGGGTGGGTGGATGGGTGGGCGGATGGGTGGCTGGCTGGGTGGCTGGGTGGCTGGGTGGATGGGTGGGTGGATGAATGGATGGGTGGACGGGTGGATGGGTGGATGGATGGATGGGTGGATGGGTGGATGGGTAGGTGGATGGATGGGTGGATGGATGGATAGGTGGGTGGGCGGGTGGATGGATGAGTGGCTGGGTGGGTGGGTGGATTGGTGGGTGGACGGATGTAAACTCCGTTTACAGGCTTGGGGCCCGGTCATCCTTTACCCTGCTGCACGTGGAGCCCCACCCCCCATGCTCCACGGGAAACGGCCCAGGTGGGTGGGTGGGGGTGTGCGGGGGCGGGAGGGGCGGGTAGGGGCGGGGGCCAGAGCTCTGGGACTGGGGTCTCTCACCTCCTTCACGGCGCCCACCTTCTCCGGAGCCAGCTGGAATAGCTCATCGAAGACGTCCTCTGCAGACAGACCACAGACTGCGGTGACTCGCTGTGACCTCGGAGCCAAACTTCGAAGCCGAACGGCTTTCTCCCACCCGCTCCTCGGCGTCCCCGGGGCGGGGGGGCTGGGTTTTAGCTCAGGCTCCTGGAGTTTAACATCGGGCCTGGTCCCAGCCCTGCCTCCCTGCTGAGTGGCTCAGGAGAATGGCCACCCTCTCTGTGCCTTCGCTTCCTCACTGTGAAGTACGGCTGATGATGTTCACCGGCTAGGGCCATTGCGAAGATCACATTTGATAGCAAAGATGGAATTTGGCGTGGGGGCTGGGCCGCCATGACCTTCAGTAACGTCCCTCCCTCTGCCACACGCCCCATCCCTTCCTCTGGAAACTACCGGTCTCCTCCAGCTCCCTGCTCCAGCCCAGGCCGCGGAGCTGCCTGCCTGGCAGGGGCCAGCCCGGGCTGACACGGCCCCGGGTCCCTGGGCGGGCCGCGGTGGATTGGCAGAATGAGGGCAGCGAGCTCCCCCGAGGCCGGAGCCTCAGCGCACACGGCCGGAGAGGCAGCTGAGCCACCGCCCCGGGGCCTGGAATCGAGCATCTTGGCAGCTCGGGCTCCTGGTCCAGCCTCAGACACCGGGCCCAAGGCCTGCATTCTCACTCTCACTCTCGGCAGCTGACACTCTCCTCCAGGGAGACGGGTTCTCACACAGACTGAGCGGAAATGACCTTCGGCTTCTGCCACGCAGCTGCTGTGTGACCCCCAGCAGCCACTTGGCCTCTCTGTGCCTGCTGTTCCTTCGTTAGCGAGGGGAGGAGCGGCACACGGGAAGCCCCGTAAACCAAGAACCACAGTGCAGACCCGGGGCCCCTACTGGACCGTTCGGCCAGAGGGCAGGGAAGTGTCCCCGGAGGAACAGAGCAGACAAGACCAGCGCAGCACGAATGGCCAGAAACGGTGCAAAGAGGCCCTGCCCCTGACCGTGGGACCGGTCTTCATGCCGCCGCTAACAAACACTGCTCCCGGGCAACCCCAGTGACCTCCTGCCGCCCCCACATACACACACTCACTCTCCTCCGGCCTGGCCCCGCCCTCGCTTCCTGCCTCAGGCACCCTCCCTCCGCCCTGTTCCTAGAGGCCCTGGCCAGTCATTATTTCCATCGCCAGGAGAGGTGCCCTTGGCACAGCCCTGTGTCCTGTGCGGTGGGAGAAATGTCAGGGTGGATGGATGGATAAATGGAGGAGGAAGGGATGGATGGATGGATGGATGGATGGTGAATTAACAGATTGGTGGGTGATGGATGGATGGTGGATAGATGAATGGATGGGTAGATAGATGGATGGATTGGTGAGTGGATGGATGGATGGATGGATGGATGGATTGGTGGGTGGATAAATGGATGAATGGGTGAGTGGATGGATGGGTGAGTGGATGGATGAATGGATGGTTGGATGGATGAATGGATGGATGGATGGATGGATGGATTGGTGGGTGGATGAATGGATGAATGGGTGAGTGGATGGATGGGTGAGTGGATGGATGGATTGGTGGGTGGATGGTTGATGATGGGATAGTGATAGATGGTGGATGAATGGATTGGTGTGTGGGTGGATGAATGGATTGGTAGACAGATTGGTGGGTAAGTGAATGGATTAATAGATGAACAGCTGGCCAGTCCAGTTGCCTGAGGAATGAGTGAGTCAGTGTATGAAGGAAGGAAGGAAGGAAGGAAGGAAGGAGGGAAGGAAGGAATGGCTGGGTCAGTAAGTGACCGGTGAGGAGCTCTGTACAGAAGCAGCAGCCACAATCACTGTTAAGCACCCGCTATGTGCTGAGCACGTTTACGAACCCTCTCTGAGCCTCATCACCAGCCTAAGAGGAGGAAACGGAGGCCCCGGGGTGAGAGGCTTCCCCAATCTCATGACTAACAAATGGGAGCCTTCGTGTGCGTGTGCAGGCCCAGGCCACCTGGCTCTGGAGCCCAACCCTTCACAGCTCCGCCCTCACCCCAATGGGGACGAAACATCTGTCTGCCTACAGGAGCCAGAGCCTGAGCGGGAGCAGCCAGGTCCAGGCAAGGACAGACAGGGGAGGGCCAGACGGGCCAGCAGGAAGCTCAGGCACATCAGGCCCCCTCGGAGCGGGCACCGGAGCGCCCCCGTGCCTGCACGCCGCTGTCACACGCACGCCACAGACGGACTCCCGCACGGCCGGCGGCACTCACTGGCAGCTTGGTCCTTGTCTGCGCTGGGAGTGGGGTGGGGGTGGGGGGGGGAAAAATGCAGAGAAATGGTTAAAAACCTTGAGACCCACAGCTTTTTTCCACGACGAGGCCTGACCCTGGCAAGGTTTCAGAGAAACCAGCGTCTGGTACCCCTGGCGCTGCGTAAGGGGGGGAGGGGTCTTGTTTTGGGGTCGCTCTTTAGTTCGGGGAGGGCAGTGTGCTATTCAGACAGTAAGACGCGCCAGTCCTCCGTGCGCAGCTTCCACACTGTCCCGCACGTGTGCGGCCCCGCCCTCCTCGGAGTGTGGAGCCGTCCTGGCACCCATGTGCCTCCGCCCCCCACGCCCTCCCCCGCGAATGGCACCCTGCTCTGGTTTCTCCTGCCTGCGCCTGCCCGTGCCTGTCCTGGAAGTTCCTGTAAATGAGATCACACAGCAGGCCCGCCTCTGGCTTCCTTCCCTCCATTTTTACTGTTATGATTTTTTTCTTTTCTTTTCACTTTTTTGTTAAATTTTCACCCCGCCCCTGTCCCCTAGAAGCAAGGCTCTGGGCCCAAAGCAGCCACGCTCTGGGGAGCCAGGGCCCTCTGCAGGGGGCCGGGGTCGGGGGCCGGGGCAGCTGGGGAGAGAGCCAGCTCCCAGCAAAGGCAGAGGCGCCGTGGGGCCCAGGATTCCGCTGGGAGCCAGAGGTGGTCCTGGCCACGCTGTCTGAGCTCACGGGGGCAGAGGGGTGGTTTTGGGGTCACGAAGGGTGAAAGAATGTGGTGTCATGGGCTCCAAAGGCACCTTCCCACTCAGGGTCCCCAAGTCATTCCACTCTGGAACTCAGGCCCGGCCGGGGGCTCAGAGCAGCTCACGGGCGGTGCTGGGCCTCACTGAGCCGAGGGGCCAAGGCTCCCCCAGGGCGTCCTGGGAAGTTAAATGGGCCTCGGCCTCACTCCGCTCACAGGCGTGGGGCCCGGCCACCCCTTACCCTGCGGCGCCTGGAGCCCCACCCCCCACGCCCCACAGGCACAGGAGCCACAGCCGGGAGGGCCCTCGGGACCGGGAAGCAGGGGGTGGAGGAGGTCGCCTCACGCATCCCCCCCGCAGGGAGCACAGCCCACTCTTCAGGGGAGCAAGAGGCTCAGAGAGGGGAGGCGACTGGCCCAGGGTCACACAGCTCACGCCGAGGAGCCAGGGTGCAGGCTCTGAGCCCAAGAGCACGGCCACGGCCAGGGCCTGCGCAGAGCGGCCTCCGCAGACGTTAACGGGAAGCGAGGGCGGAGGGCGCTTCTGCAGGCAGCGCCTCTCAGACCCGCCCAGAGGGCCCGGCCCGGAACGCGGCCCTGCCTCTGGGAGGGCAGGGCTCGCTGGGCCTGCCGCTCTCCGGACAGACAGAGCGACAGCCGCTGAGCAAGGACAGAGCTCTCGCCCTGCACGCGAAGGCGCTCCGTAAGTGCTGGGGTACGAGTGAGCGCAGGTGCCCTGCCTCCCTGCACCAGGGGGCCGTCCAGGTCAGGTCAGGGTCACTTGGCGCAGCACCTCCCTGCCCCGAGTGGCTTCCCAGGAGGGCTCGGGCCCCAGGGTCCTCCTGGCCCCAGGGCTGTGGGTGACCTCGTGGCTGAGGGCCAGGGCCCTCTGATCCCAGCTCTGCTTGCTTGCTGGTGGCAGAGAGGGTAAGGGAGCTGGAGGAGGCGGGCATGTCTGGGAGGACCATCAAGATGGAGGGGCCCCTGGGTCCCCCCAGGCCTGAGGGACAGGCAGAGTGTGAGGGCCCCCCAATCCCACCAAATCCGGTCCGACCCTGCTCCTCCCTCACCTGCTCGCCGTGAGCTGCTCCACTGACTTCTCCGACTTCAGGCCACTCTTGGTGCTCTGAGAACAGAGGGAGGAGGCATCACCCAGCGAATGCAGGGGCCCAGGCCTCGGGCTCGGTCTAGAGGCCAAAGCAGCCCCTCGGAGCCCAGTCCCTCACAGGGTAGCCTCCTGGCCTCATCGCTTGGTCCCCTATGGTCTTTCCCATGAGCCTGAGACCCATGAGGACTAGGACCCAGTCAGCCTTGTTCCCCAGGAACCCCAGTCTCATCAGCGCCTGGCTCACAGAGGTCAGTAACGAATGAATGGTGAGTGGATGGGTGGATGACTGGATGGATGGGTGGATGACTGGATGGATGGGTGGATGACTGGATGGATGGATGGGTGGATGACTGGATGGATGGGTGGATGACTGGATGGATGGGTGGATGGCTCGATGAATGGATGAGTGGATGGATGAATAAATGGATTGATGAATAGATGGGTCAATGAATGGGTGGGTGGATGGGTGGATGAGTGGATGGGTGGATGGATGGATGGGTCAATAAATGGATGGGTGGATGGGTGGATGAGTGGATGGGTGGATGGATGGATGGGTCAATAAATGGATGGGTGGATGGGTCAATAAATGAAGGATGAATGGATGGATGAATGAATGGATGGGTGGATGGATGGGTAAATGGATGGATGAATAGATGGGTCAATGAATGGGTAGGTGGATGGATGAATGAATAGATGGGTGGATGGATGGATGGAATGGATGGATGAATAGATGGGTGGATGGGTGGATGGATGGATGAGTCAATGAATGGATGGGTGAATGGGTCAATGAATGAATGATGGACCCAGGATGCTCGCTCCACGTGATGGAGCCCAGGCCCAGCCTCACCTCCATGGTGATCACCTCCACCTGCACGTTGGGCGGGAGGGGCAGGCCGGGCTGGAAGCGCTTGGCCAGCGCCAGCAGGAGGTGCAGTGTGGCCAGCAGGTCCTTGTTAAAGATGGCTGCGGGGAGGCACACAGGTCAGCTCTGGGGCCCGTGAGGTCTCCTTATCCTCACAACCACCCCCTGCAGCCCCCCGAGACTGTCTCCCCCTCCCCCCCGGGAAGCAGGGGCCTGGAGATCTGCATTCCGATCTAAGAAAAGTCACACATTCAGATCGAACAGCAGCCTCAGGCCCAGGCCACTGCCCGTCGGGGCCGGTTACACACGGATGTCCTCTGACCGCTGTCTGCCCCTGACACCAGCCACGGGCCCCGTCCTGGTTGGACACCAGCTGGACAGATGGTTAGGTTTAAGCCGAACATGACTTCGGTCGGGGCAGCATCAACAGTAAGAACACCAGCTGCCGACCGTGAGGCAGGGAGAGAGCAGCGAAGGCAGGGGCGTGCGCCCAGCACGAGGTGGGTTTGCAAATGGCGACATCACTGCCGCCCGACCTCGCTGTGTCCTTCCTGCCTCAGTGTTCCCATCCGGGAAGTGGGGAAAACGCAGAGCCTGGGAGGGCAGGACATTCACCGCGAGCTGGGACAAGGAGGGCGCCTGGGTGCTTTGAAGGCGCCACAGAGACAATGGGAACGAGCTCACAGGAGGGGCTGCGGTGGCCCCGCCCGGCAGAGGGGCGCGTCACGGCGCTTGGCACAGTCCGCCCTGGCTGCGCTGTGCCAGGCTGTGAGCCCCGTCCTCTGCCGGGCTCCCTGCAGCGACATCCGGGGCCGGGAGTGCCAGGCTGTTAGCTCTGCAGCCGACCGCACCTTTGTGCCCACTCTGCACTGCCCGAGGCCTCTGCCTCCTTCCCAGCCCCGGTGCGCCCAGACCGAGGCGGCCGAGCCGTGGCCGGCGGCGAGAGAAGCTGTCTCAGGCCCAGGCCGCCCGGCCGCCCGGCCGCCAGCCCGGGGGCCGTACCGTCCACGCTCCACCGCGGCTGCTCCTCCTGCAGGCAGCGGTTGGTGGCCTCCAGGACTGCCTCGAGCTTGCGCCTCTGGTTCACGGCGGTCAGGGCGATCTCCTCCACCTCCAGCCGGGTCCCCGCCAGCCGCTCTGCGTGTGGGAGCGGCAGGGAGGGCAGGGGAGGGGGAGGAAGGAGGTGACAGTGTGGGCTCCTGGGGGGACCAGCGCTCAGGCAGTAAGAGCGCCCCCTCCCTCCGCAGTGGGACAGGCGGCTGCGGGCTGAGCGAGCCCCGCCCTCACCGGACCCCGCTGTGCCCCCCCCCCCCCCCCCCCCCCCCCCCCCGCCTGAGCATTCTGCAGGGCAGTGTGGCCGGCGCCCCCTCCCTGCTTTCTTCCCTGTGAGACCGGACAGGGACCAGGCCCGCAGCCCTCAGTGTCCCTCTGGGAGATGGTCAGAGCAGCCCTCAGTGTCCCTCTGGGAGATGGTCAGAGCAGCCCTCAGTGTCCCTCTGGGAGATGGTCAGAGCAGCCCTCAGTGTCCCTCTGGGAGATGGTCAGAGCAGCCCTCAGTGTCCCTCTGGGAGATGGTCAGAGCAGCCCTCAGTGTCCCTCTGGGAGATGGTCAGGAGCAGCCCTCAGTGTCCCTCTGGGAGATGGGTCAGAGCAGCCCTCAGTGTCCCTCTGGGAGATGGTCAGGAGCAGCCCTCAGTGTCCCTCTGGGAGATGGGTCAGAGCAGCCCTCAGTGTCCCTCTGGGAGATGGTCAGGAGCAGCCCTCAGTGTCCCTCTGGGAGATGGGTCAGGAGAGCCCTCAGTGTGCCTCTGGGCGATGGGTCAGAGCAGCCCTCAGTGTCCCTCTGGGCGATGGGTCAGGAGAGCCCTCAGTGTCCCTCTGGGCGATGGGTCAGGAGAGCCCTCAGTGTCCCTCTGGGAAATGGGTCAGAGCAGCCCTCAGTGTCCCTCTGGGAGATGGGTCAGGAGAGCCCTCAGTGTCCCTCTGGGAGATGGGTCAGGAGAGCCCTCAGTGTCCCTCTGGGAGATGGTCAGAGCAGCCCTCAGTGTCCCTCTGGGAGATGGGTCAGGAGAGCCCTCAGTGTCCCTCTGGGAGATGGGTCAGAGCAGCCCTCAGTGTGCCTCTGGGAGATGGGTCAGAGCAGCCCTCAGTGTCCCTCTGGGAGATGGTCAGAGCAGCCCTCAGTGTCCCTCTGGGAGATGGTCAGAGCAGCCCTCAGTGTCCCTCTGGGAGATGGTCAGAGCAGCCCTCAGTGTCCCTCTGGGAGATGGTCAGAGCAGCCCTCAGTGTCCCTCTGGGAGATGGTCAGGAGCAGCCCTCAGTGTCCCTCTGGGAGATGGGTCAGGAGAGCCCTCAGTGTCCCTCTGGGAGATGGTCAGGAGAGCCCTCAGTGTCCCTCTGGGAGATGGTCAGGAGAGCCCTCAGTGTCCCTCTGGGAGATGGTCAGAGCAGCCCTCAGTGTCCCTCTGGGAGATGGTCAGAGCAGCCCTCAGTGTCCCTCTGGGAGATGGTCAGAGCAGCCCTCAGTGTCCCTCTGGGAGATGGGTCAGGAGAGCCCTCAGTGTGCCTCTGGGAGATGGGTCAGGAGAGCCCTCAGTGTGCCTCTGGGAGATGGGTCAGAGCAGCCCTCAATGTCCCTCTGGGAGATGGGTCAGAGCAGCCCTCAGTGTTCCTCTGGGAGATGGTCAGAGCAGCCCTCAGTGTCCCTCTGGGAGATGGGTCAGGAGCAGCAGGAGCGGCTCTGGCCTGGCCACGCCTGCCCCATGGTAGGTCCGTGCTCAGGAAGCCGCGGGGGAGCTGGGGGTGTGCCAGAGCCCTTTGGAAGGTGCTGCCTGGCCCCAGGCTGAGCCAGCACCAGATCAGACCGCCCGCCCGCAGGGCCTCCCAGCTCAGTGCAGACAGACCTCAGACCAGGCGGAGCACCCACAGCAGAGGGAGAGGGTGGGGGAAGGGAGAGGGGTGGGGGGAGAGAGAGGGGAGAGGGGTGGGGGGAGAGAGAGGGGATGGGGGGAGAGAGAGGGGATAAGGGGGGAGAGGAAGAGGGGTGAGGGAAAGGAAAGGGGATGGGGGAGGGAGAGGGGAGTGGGGAAGGAGAGGGAGGGGGAGGGGGAGGGAGGTGGAAGGAGGGGAAGAGGGGATGGGGGGAGGGAGAGGGAATGGGGGAGGGAGAGGGGTGGGGGAGGGAGAGGTGATGAGGGAAGCAGGGGGAGGGAGGAGGGATGTGTGGGGGGAGGGAGGGGGAGAGGGGAGGGAGAGGGATTGGGGGAGGGGGAGGAAATGGAAGGAGGGAGAGGGTGGGGGGGAGGGGGGGGGAGGGAGAGGAAGAGGGGGAGGGAGGAGAAGGAGGGGGAGGGAGAGGGGTGGGGGAGGGAGGGGGGAGGGAGAGGAAGAGGGGGAGGGAGGGAGGAGGAGGGAGGAGGAGGGGGGAAGGAGAGGGGGGGGGAGGCCGAGCACCCAGAGGCAGCCTGAGGGCTCTCCGGGCTGAGGATGAACAGCCTCCTCGGCCTGCTCCCTGGGCAGCGGAGCCGGGTGCGGGGAGTGGGTTTGCTGTCCGCGGCCTCTCGCAGCGAGCGCTCCACATGTGCCCGAGGGGAGAGGCCCAGGCTCGGCGAGGTCAGCGGGGGGTGCGGGCGGCGAGGGGCCCCCTCGGGCAGGCCGGGCAGCCGCTCACGGAAAAGGTGGTGCAGGATGAGCCCGTCGAACATGTCCTCCTCCAGGCTGCGGACCACGATGTGCTCGGCGAGCAGCTCGGCGTTGATCCACTCCAGCAGCACCTGCCGGCCCGGAGGACGGTGACCGGCCACTCCCTCCGGCCCCTTCCCGCCCCCCGCGGCCGCCATGGCCCTGGCCGCCGGCGGGCGCAGGAGCACAGGCTTCGGGCCGATGCCTGGTCAAGCCCGCCTGCCACTGCCGCCCGGGCCCCGACCGGCCGGCCCTCTGAGCGCGCCGTCCCTCCCGGGCGGGGGCAGCGTGCCCGCTCAGTCCGAGGGGGCTTGCTGGGAGCGTGTGCAGAGGGTATACAGTCAGCGCTCAGGCAGTGCCCTCCACACAGCCACGCAGCGGGCGCCGGGCCTGCGGTCGGACGGCCTCACCTGCTGCAGCGCGGCGAGCTTGGGGTCCTCCCGGGAGGCGGGGGGCAGGAACCTCTTCCTCTCCCCTGGAAGCAGAGCGGGCGTGACACGCGTGTGCGGGCGCGCAGGCCTGGTCCCCGAGAACTGTCCCCGTGGCGCAGGGGGACTGGGTCCTGCTGCTTCACACACACATGCACACACACAGGCACAAGTGTACTCACACGCGGTCCACACACACAGATGCACAGGCACCTACACACACAGCCACACACAGAGACACACCTGCACACACACACACATACACACACATGCACACACTCACATGCACAGGCACCTACACACACAGCCACACACAGAGACACACCTGCACACACACAGCCACACACACACATGCACACACTCAGGTGCACAGGCACCTACACACACAGCCACACACAGAGACACACCTGCACACACACACACACGCACACACTCAGGTGCACAGGCACCTACACACACAGCCACACACAGAGACACACCTGCACACACACAGCCACACACACACACACTCTCAGATGCACAGGCACCTACACACACAGCCACACACAGAGACACACCTGCACATGCACACACACACACACACACTCTCTCAGATGTACAGGCACCTACAGACACATATATAGATACACACAGACTCAGACACACACTTGCACTCACAGATACACAGACACATACCTACACACAGACATAGTCACAGACACATATGTACACCAACTATACACACACAGAAAGAGGCCCCTGAGCACCAAACACCCCAAGTGGCGGTCCCTCCGGGCCACTTGGTCCCTCCATCCTGGTCCCTCGGGTCCACCTGGTCCGCTCGCTCTCCCTGCCTCTGAACCAGCCGTAAAACAAACCCAAACGGTTCTCTGATAACAGGCCTGTGCCCTGGAGCAGCCTTCCTGCGGCTCCCAGCCCTGAACCCGCGGCGAGCAGACAGCCCGGCCGTGCACGGAGCCGCCCAGACCCTGGGCCCGGCCCCGCCCCAGCCACTCGCCCAGGCTCCGGGCCCCACGCGTGTTTACAGGCTGGACCCCCGGGGCCCACATTAGCTCGGCCCTGTCTCTCTGTGTTCTAATGGCTCCAAATGACACGAGTTCCGGAGCCCACGGGCCTGGCCTGGGTCTCGGGGGGCCTCTCGAGTGTTTTCGGTCCCAGGGAGACGTCAGGGCGGTGACGTCAATGCCACAACCCCCCCCCCCCGAACACAGGCATGTGATGGGCCCACACTCACTGGGTGGCTCCTAGCCTGCCCCCCACCCCCTCGCCCTAAAGAGACCCAGCCCACCCCCCACGCCCCCTGAGATGTCAGATCTGCCCAGAATCCGCCTGGGCCGCCTGGTGGGTGTGCAGCCTGAGTCCTGGGGCCGCCCGCCTCGGGCTTAGCTTACTCCGGGGTTCCCCTCTGCCCTGCGAGGGGCTCTGTGCCTCAGTGTCCCCATTTACACAGCGGAGGTGAGCGCGCCCCCTAGAGCCACCAGTGAGACGCTGTTCACAGGGCGCTCGGCACCCTCCTCCTGGCCGTCACCATTAACCGGGGACGTGCGACTGTGCAGGGCAGGGGTAGCCGTGGAAGGTTCCAGAAACGGGCGGGGTATTGGGCACAAAGCCGGAGACGTATGTTCCGAGCAGAACGGTGCCCAGTGACCACCTGTGTGAATGCATGTTCCCAGGCGTGGCCTGTTTGGCTTTGGGATGCAGACCCCACGTCATCCCGCCCGGACCCCCGCCCGGACCCCGCCCGCCAGGACGCACCTTGTGGGAGCTCCTCCTCCGCGGGCGCGCCCGCCGGCCTGGGCGCCTGCAGCAGGTTGTAGAGGGACTCGGGGTCCATCCTCGCCGGCCCTGGGGGTGGGACAGGGCGTCACCGTCCACAGGCCCAGCCCTCTGTGCCCCTCTTCCGGCGGGAGGTGCAGGGCAGGGGGGAGCGGCTCTGGGTGGGTCTAGGAGGGGCAGGTCCCGACCGAGGCCGCACACTGCGCTCTGGACGCTGGGTGGAGCAGGGCACAGGGCCGGGGGCACAGGGTGAGGGCACAGACTAAGGGCACAGGGTGGGGGCACAGGGTGAGGGCACAGGGTGGGGGCACAGGGTGGGGGCACAGGGCTGGGGCACAGGGTGGGGGCACAGGGTGAGGGCACAGGGTGGGGGCACAGGGTGGGGGCACAGGGTGGGGGCACAGGGCGAGGGCACAGGGTGAGGGCACGGGGTGAGGGCACAGGGTGAGGGCACGGGGTGGGGGCACAGGGTGAGGGCACGGGGTGAGGGCACTGCCTACCCACAGGCTCCACAGGGAACGGGGCATCCCCCGCCGGGCACAGAGTGGCCAGCCCACCAGGTTCCTGTAGGACAGGAAGTCCCCCACCCCCCTGCACCCAGGACAGGAAGTCCCTCACCCCCACACATACCCCACCCCACTGCACCCCACAGTCAGGACCAGGGGCTGGCCACTCCTCAGACTTCTCCCACCCAAACCCTGAGCTCCAGGGGGCTCGGGCCTGTGCGGCCTGAGGGGTGGGGGTGAGCACGGATGTGCTGTCTACAGCCCTGAGCTCCTGTGGGGGGAGGGGCGGGGGGGAGGAGGGTCCGAGCCTGGTCAGAGGCGCAGAGCACCGCCAGCTTTGAGTGAGGGACGGCGCTGGGGGCACTGTCAGCTGGACTGGCCCCGCTCCCCGAGGCCTGGCTCCCGGGGTGGCCCTGCCCGGCCCCCTCCTGAGCGGGGCTCCCTGCGGGGGCTCTGCCTCCGGGCTGTTTGGGGGCCGCACGCCCCTCCCCATGGGAAGGCGGCACCCACAGCGCCTACAGGAACTCACTGTGGGCCCAGCTCGCCCCCCGCCCGCAATGAGCCAACAGGCCTCCTTCCTGTTCCCCTGGCGACTTCCTCTCCCGCAGCGGGCGGCTGCCCGGGTTTCTCTCTGCAGCCCCCCCTCCCACGGTGCCAGCCCCAGCTGACCCCGGGCCCCCGCGGTGCCAGCCCCAGCGGACCCCGGGCCCCCGCGGTGCCAGCCCCAGCGGACCCCGGGCCCCCGCGGTGCCAGCCCCAGCGGACCCCGGGCCCCCGCGGTGCCAGCCCCAGCGGACCCCGGGCCCCCCGCGGTGCCAGCCCCAGCGGACCCCGGGCCCCCGCGGTGCCAGCCCCAGCGGACCCCGGGCCCCCCGCGGTGCCAGCCCCAGCGGACCCCGGGCCCCCGCGGTGCCAGCCCCAGCGGACCCCGGGCCCCCGCGGTGCCAGCCCCAGCGGACCCCGGGCCCCCGCGGTGCCAGCCCCAGCGGACCCCGGGCCCGTGTCTGCAGCACAAGCTCTGGGTCGGCTCCACCCTCGCAGAGGCCGCCGCGGGCCGGAGCCTCCACAGCGGCAGCCAGCCTGGCACGCGGCCCGTCCGGCCCCGAATGGGGGCGGGGGCACAGCCGCCGGCTCCCTGAGTCCCCGGGCCCCTCCTGGACGCGGGTTCCATGAGGCTGTGTCCAGAGAGGAGGACGGGCCTGGCCGGCAACACGAGGCCTCGGCTCCCGGCCGGCTCCTCCTCTTTCTGGCTGTGTGACTCCGGGCCGGCCCCTGCCCTCTCTGGTCCGGCCGCTCCCTGACACAGAGGGTGGATCCGGAGCCGCCTCCCGCCCTCAGCAGCCCGCAGGCCCTTCTCGGCCCGGCCTCGGTTCTCCTCTGACGCCCGGGTGGCCTTCCTGCATCAGCTGGAGCTCGGGGAGGTGCACGGAGCTGGAGTCCACTCACCTGGTCCAGAGGCAGGACCTTGGGCAGCCGTGGCCGCCTCTCAGCCTGGGGACGGGGTGCAGGGGGACAGGAGCTCCGGGGCCACTGGGCCCCGCCCCCTCGGCTCAGACGGCAGCCTCTGCCCTCAGTCCCACTGCCTCAGCCCTCCTGTGAGCTTGGCCTCACAGGCCTGCGGATGGACAGACAGACAGACGGGGCTGCCAGAGACTCACCTGGCTGCTTCCTCCACGTGAGAAAATGAGGGCCACGGAGCTCCAGTGGCGGCCGGGTTTCACCCAGAAGCCAGTTCCGGTTCCCCGAGCAGCGGGGCTGAGGCCCCCGAGGCAGGCACCAACCCTGACTTCCTCCAGAGGGGCCGGCCGGCCAAGATGCCTGCAGGCTGCTCCCCACCTGCAGGCTGCTCCCCCGCCTGAGGCTGCTCCCCACCGGAGGCTGCTCCCCCTGACGGAGGCCGGGGCTGCCAGGAGCTGCCACCAGCCCCACCAGAAAGCTCTGCTCCGGCCCCGACCGGCCACACCTCCCGCCCGATGTCTCGCAGGCAACTCCAGTTTAAGGTTTCGACTTCCTCTCCCTCCCCGCCCACTGCACCAACCCAGCCAGTTCCTCCCGGGTTCCTAGCCCGCACACGGCAACACCGGCACCAGCCACCAAGGCTCCAGGGGCATGTCGGCTTCCCCCGGGCTCCCACCCCGCCGGCCAGGCTCCCCCCCACCCGCCAGGCCCCCACCCTCTCACCTGGACCACACAGAGCCTTCTGCTGACCCCATCCTGGCGCCAGCTTCTCCCAACTCCAGCAGCCCTGGTTCTCTCCCCGCGTCACACCCGTCACTCAGCCCATCCATGGTGCCCAGTGGCTCTTAAAAATGAAATCCAGTCACACAGCCCAGCCCCTTCATCGCCATCCCCTATCGTTTCATCCCCTGACCCCTCCTGCTCTCTCCCCCCCCAGTCACGCCTACACCTTTCTGGTCCTTCAAAGTGCCACATTCCCGCTAAAACCGGTGTGGCTCAGTGGACAGAGTGTCGGCCTGCAGACTGAAGGGTCCCAGGTTCGATCCTGGTCAAGGGCATGTACCTTGGTTGCGGGCACATCCCCAGTGGGGAGTGTGCAGGAAGCAGCTGATCGGTGTTTCTCTTTCATTGATGTTTCTGGCTCTCTATCCCTCTCCCTTCCTCTCTGTAAAAAATCAATAAAATATATTTTTAAAAATACAACAAAAAACAAAACAAACAAAAAAACAAAATGCTACCTGCCTTCCTGTTTGGGGATCCTCACACTTACGGGCCCTGCCAGCCCAGCTTTTAAAACAGCGAAGTAATCATCCCTGTCACCCACATAATGCCCCCTCCTCCAGGAAGCCTTCCTGGACTGCCTTGCCTAACGCAGGTTCTCTCCCAGCCCTCACCGCAGCCCCCGGAGGACCCTTTGTCCCAGGGCCTGGCACAATGCAGGGCGCCATGTGGGCTGCCGCGGACAGATCCTGACAGATGTCATACGAACGTCCGTGTTCCCATGTGTACGGCCCAGGGGTCCCAGGACCCGCCCAGGCGAGGCCCAACCCTGGTGGGCGTGAGGATAACGATTTACTGAACTGGGCTTCCCCTTAAACCGAAACCTGAGCTCCCCAAGCCCAGCCCCTGCGCGGCGGTGACCTGCTGGGCGGGGCCGGTGACCTGCTGGGCAGGCGGGTGGCCTGCTGGGTGGGCCCGTGGCCTGGCAGGTGGGCTGGTGGCCTGCTGGGCGGGGCGGTGGCCTGGCGGGCGGGGCCGGTGGCCGGCTGGGCGGGGCCGGTGGCCTGCCGGGCAAGCGGGTGACCTGCTGGGCGGGTCGGTGACCTGCTGGGCGGGTCGGTGACCTGCTGGGTGGGCCCGTGGCCTGGCAGGTGGGCTGGTGGCCTGCTGGGCGGGTCGGTGGCCTGGTGGGCGGGGCCGGTGGCCTGCTGGGCGGGTCGGTGGCCTGGAGGGCAGGGCCCCTGGACACCTGGCGACGGTCCCCGGACCAGGACGGACCAGGACCCCACAGGTCCGGTGCTGCCTGAGGGACCAGGACACGTTGTCCTCATCACCCCAGAGAGCCCGGGGCAGGCGGCCTGGCCCGCTCTGTCTGCACACGGGCCTCCGGCCGGATGCGCTGGGGGAGGGGAGCGGCCCTGGGGCGTAGGGTGCTTGTCGGCCCAGGGACGCCCCTCCCCCAGGCCACCCCCACTGCCTCCAGACACGGCCCGGGTCCTGATTTAACGGGGAAGGACAGGGAGGTCCCTCTGGAGAGCGTGGGGCCCTCAGGCCCAGCAGGTCCCGGGCAGAGCCCGGCCTCTCAGCAGGTGACCACTCGGCTGCCTGGCTCCCCGGCAGCCACCCCTCCGTGCCGTCCGCCGGGGGCCGGCAGCAGGGCCGGTGAGCGTGGAGATGGGGCCACCGTCAGGTCATGGGGCGTCCCCTGCCGCCTCCCGGCAGCCGCCTCTCCTCCGGCCTGCGAGAGGCGACTGTCCTGGCCTGGAGCTGGAGGCTGGGGATGGGGCTGGAGGCTGGGGTTGGAGCTGGAAGCTGGGGATGGGGCTGGAGGCTGGGGTTGGAGCTGGAGGCTGGGGATGGAGCTGGAGGCTGGGGATGGGCTGGAGGCTGGGTTGGAGCTGGAGGCTGGGGATGGAGCTGGAGGCTGGGGATGGGGCTGGAGGCTGGGGATGGGGCTGGAGGCTGGGGATGGGGCTGGAGGCTGGGGTTGGAGCTGGAGGCTGGGGATGGGGCTGGAGGCTGGGGATGGGGCTGGAGGCTGGGGTTGGAGCTGGAGGCTGGGGATGGGGCTGGAGGCTGGGGATGGGGCTGGAGGCTGGGGATGGGGCTGGAGGCTGGGGATGGAGCTGGAGGCTGGGGATGGGCTGTCGGGTGGGGTGGCCCGCCCCACTCCGTGCTTCAGGGTCACTCAGCCACAGCGGCTCCCGCCCACGAACCCCGGGCTTCAGCCCATGGGGCCCGCAGCCCCACACAGCGCTGTGCCCAGCCCCTCGCTGCCTCCGTCTCGCTGCGGCACCAGGTGCCAGGTGCCAGGTGAGCGCTGGGTGGGGCCGTGTGGCCGGGACCAGCACTGTGCCGGCACCACCATAGGCGTCCGACAGAGGCAGCGGCAGCCATGACAGCTCTTTCCTGGAAAAAAAACCAGCGGCCTGTTCCCACCACGGCATTCTCCTCACCGGCGGCTTCTGGCCGAGGGACACCGGGCCCCCAGCACACACACACAGACACACACACACACACACACACTCATACACATACAAACACACATACTCATACACACACACACACTCTCATACACACACTCATACACATACACACTCACACACACTCACACACATACATACACACACACGCACACTCATACACCCATACTCATGCACACACACTCATACACATGCACACACATACACACATATACACTCACACACACTGACACACTCATACACACACACTCATACACATGCACACACACATATACACACTCATATACATGCACACACTCATACACATGCACACACTCATACACATGCACACACACATACACATACACACACTCATACACATGCACACACTCATACACACGCACACACACATACACATACACAAACTCATACACACTCATACACACACACACTCATACACACACACTCATACACACACACACACTCATACACACACACTCATACACACACACTCATACACATGCACACACTCATACACATGCACACACTCATACACATACACACACATACACATACACACACTCATACTCATACACACACATACACACACTCATACACACACACTCATACACACACACTCATACACATGCACACACTCATACACATGCACACACTCATACACATACACACACATACACATACACACACTCATACTCATACCAAACCACATACACACTCATAACACACACTCATTACACACCCCACAACACTCCCACCTCATACACACACACACTCACATCACACACACACACATTACACATACCCACACTCCGACAGACTACACACGTCTAGTACACCACAAGACCACACACCACTCAGACAATACACACACTCATACACACACACTCATACACACACTCACACACACACTCATACACACACACTCATACACACACACACTCATACACACACACTCATACACACACACACATACACACTCATACACATGCACACTTATACACATACATACACTCATACACACACACTCATACACACACACTCATACACACACACACTCATACACACACACTCATAACACACCACTCAACACACATCACTATACATCACACTCACCTATACACCACACAACTCATACACACCACACTTCATACCAACACCACACTTCATACACCACACTCATACACACACACACTCATACATACACACTCATACACACACACTCATACACACACACTCATACACACACACTCATACACACACACACACTCATACACACACACTCATACACACACACTCATACACACACACACTCATACATACACACTCATACACACACACTCATACACACACACTCATACACACACACACACACACGCACACACACACACACACACCGGAGGTGTCAGCTTCCTGCAGTCTCGGGCGGGCGGGTCCACAGCACAGCGGGTTGAGTGGCTTTTATTTAACCCAGAAATCCCCAGTGAGCAGCGCTTCACAGGGTTACAGAGAGGAGACACACGGCACACGGGGCGGGGGACGGTCCCGCTGCTTTAAAACAGCACCGCTGGGTCGCGCCCTCCCTGATCCACGGCCCCGACAGTCAGCAGTGAGGCGTCGCCCGGGGCGTGAGTTCCCCATCTCACTGCTCCTTTCCCTCCCGCCTGGGCCGCGTGGGCCCAGGAACCGGCAGAGCCGCCGCGGGCAGGCTGCCCCTGCTGGCCTCCCGGGGTTCGCACCCCATCCTAAGCCCCAGCTGGGGCGCTGGGGACGAGGTCAGGGGCTGACCCGGCAGGCGCCGCGGGGGCACGGGGTGAGCAGCAGGGGGTGAGGGAGCCCTGTCCTGCCGGGCCCAGGGCAGGTGCCAGACTCCGGGATCGAGAGGAACACGTCGCTCCCTCCTGCAGGGGCTGCGGGCCCAGAACCCCGAGCGGAGCCCTGCCCGGGGCCTCAGAAAGCACAGCCGGAGGGATGCGGTGATCGGGTCCCGGGGCCGGTGCAGCCCAGCGGGACTGGGGTCCTTGTACGAAGAGGCCAGGGCACACACACAGCGGGACCCCGGGGGGACAGGGGAGGACGAGGGAGGACGGGGTCTGCAGGCCACGGAGGGCGGCTCCGAAGGAACCCACCCCCCCGCACAGACACAGGCCCCCCTGCGGGACCCTCCCTGGGCGGCGGGGGGGGCGGCGGGGCCTTAGACGTTAGTGAAAACAAGGCGCACACACACGAGGGCCAGGAGCAGGGACGCAGGGCCATTCCTGCCGCAGCCGCGGCTGCTGGGCCGGACGGAGTTTTTAAAACCGCAGATCGCTCTTCACTCAGGCCCGTTCCGAGGGGAGCGCCGGAGGTCCCGCCAGGAGGGCGAGCTACGCCTCTCGGACGACGCCCGGGACCCTGGCGGTGCGGCAGACGGAGCGGGGCCTCCCGCGGCTGAGGCCTGGGTTCCGGCGCCTTCCTTTCCATCGCCTGGTCCAGGCCGCAGCCGGGAGCCCCTCAGCCCTGCGGCTCCGGACACGGGCAGGAGCGGGGTGGGGGCAGGGAGAGACGGGCGGTGGGAGCAGGGGCGGCCGCGGGTCACTCGGCGTTCTTGTACTTGTTGAACAGGTTGTAGAGGACCCGCAGGGTGGACTTGAGGTCCAGGCTCACCACGTCTGCGGAGGAGACGGAGCATTAGGGGGCGCGGCTGGCCTGGCGCTGGGGCCTGGGCCGCTCCGGCAGCGCGTCCCAGACACGGGTCTCCCGCGGGCCCCCGGCCGCCACCTGTGGGCTGAGGCCCGGGGGCCAGCACAGGCACCCTCCGCCCCTCCCCGGCACCGGGGCCTTACCTTCCGGCCGGGCCTTGGGCTTCTGGAGGCCCCCGTCCAGCATGAGCTCGAAGGCGAAGGACACGTTGTGGACCTGCGAGGGCGTGGGGTTAACGCCGGGGCCTCGCTGCCCAGCCCGCCCGCTGCCCCACGCTCCCCGGAAGGACAGAGGGGGCAGGCCTGGGCCGCGTGGTCTCTGCAGTGAGGCCCGGGGCCCGGCGGGCAGACGTCTGTGGGAGCAGCATTCCCTCACTTACGGGTCCTTCCCCCTCACCAGGGATCAGGGGCGGCTGGGAGGTGCGGGGGTGAAGGCAGGGAGCCTGTCCTTGGGGGCTCGGGGTCCCTGTGTGTCTGCACCGGGCCCTGGCACGTCCACAGGATGAGAAGTGACCGTGACCCCATTTTACAGATGAGGAAACCGAGGCTCAGAGAAGACAAGTCACTTCCCAGAGGTGCCGGGCCCGGGGCCCTGTCCCCAGCACAGAGCAGCCCTTCACCTCCCCCACTCGCCCCCACCATCAGCTGACCGCCAGCCAGATCGGCTCATGCGCACACATGGCGGCCGTGGTGCCAGGCCGTGCCAGCGGCCGCACGGCGCAGCGGGCAGACTGATCGCCCTGGCGGACGAGAGATTCCCCGCTGCCTGGCCCGACACGTGGGGCCAGCACTTTGGGGAAACAACACGACCGAAGCCCATGGGCCCACAGCAGTGTGGTCAGGCCCTCTGCCTGCTTCCAAGGCGCCTGAGAGCTGCGGGCGCTGGGCTTCCGGGGGCCCCGGCGGCAGGCCCCCGGCCCGGCCACACTGGCGGGGAGCCAGCCGCCCAGATGGCACGGCTAGGCCCTGCACCAAACATCCCAACGATCCTCTCCGGGGAAGTTTGCTAGACACAGTCCTCAGGAATGGAAGGCTATATCTATATATCTGCAGCAATAAAAGCTAATATGCTGATTAGACCGGACAGCCGAACGGCCTTCCGGATGTCCTTCCAGACAGCCTGGGGCTGCAAGGCCGGAGCCCCTTGCGTGAATTTCATGCATCGAGTCTCATATATACATATACATACATATACATACATACACACACACACATATACACACAGACACACATACACAGATACACAGATACACACATACACACACATACACACACATACACACACATACACATACACACATACACACATACACACATATACATACACACATACACACATATACACATACACACATACACACACATACACATACACACATACACACACACACATACACACATACACACACACACACATTCAAGAAGATGCCTTGTTTTCATAGGGATAACACAGGACCGTGCTGATTGGGCGAGAGCGGGCGACAGGAGGCCACGCCCTGAGCAGGGCGCCTGGGAGCTGGGGAGCAGCGGGCGCCCGGCCGTGAGGCCCGGGGGCATGCACAGGGGACGGGCGGGCGATTACGCAGGACGGGCTCGGGGCGGGAAGTGCCCGGGAGAGGCAGGCGTCGGGCTTCCTTCTCTCCGGGGCCCGTCTGGCCGCTTTACGCCTGCAGAGCGCGCGGGCCCAGAGCGGGCTGCGGCCCCCCGGGCGGCGGGCGCGTACCTTCTGGTCGAAGCTGTCTGGCGTCAGGTAGAAGTGGTGCAGGGGCACGAAGTAGTCCTCCAGCAGGCCCATGAGCAGCACCAGGTACACGCCGTCTGCGAACTACAGGACGCACCGCTGACGCCGGGCACGGCGCTCGGAGCCGCCCTGCTCCGTGTCCGCTCACCAGGAGGAGCTGGGCCCGGCCGGCGGCTCTGACCCCTGAACCAGGACTCGGGGTTCAATTCCCGGCCAGGGCACACACCCGGGTTGTGGGCAGGATCCGCAGTGAGGGGCGGGCAGGAGGCAGCTGATCCGCGATTCTCTCTCATCATGGATGTTTCTCTCTCTCTTTCCCTCTGCCTTCCTCTGAAATCAGTAAAAATATATCGAAAGGGGAAAACAAGAAACATTACGGACAGCTGTGCAGTGGGAGCCAGTGCCATCTAGAAAATACATTAACGGCCAAAACCGGTTTGACTCGGTGATTAGAGTGTCGGCCTGTGAACTGAAGGGTCCCAGGTTCAATTCCGGTCAAGGGCATGTACCTTGGTTGCGGGCACATCCCCAGTGGGAAGTGTGCAGGAGGCAGCTAATCGGTGTTTCTAACTCTCTGTCCCTCTCTCTTCCTCTGTAAAAAATCAATAAAAATATATTTTTTTAAAAAAGAAAATACATTTATGGACATAAAACATCTAGAAAAATGTCCACCGCACGGTGACCTACAGTGACCCCTGCAGGGACAGACGGGAGGGAGGAGGGGTTTTCGACCTGTCGGTTTGCACACCTCCGCGCCAGGAACCTATCAGACAGCAGGTACAGCGGCCGTGTGCCAGGCTGGCAAGGCGCTGGAATAACCAACGCATTTGCACGGCCTCCCCCCACACACACAGAAACCACCCACACGGGCAAACTGGGCGCCCGGCTTTCCCAGGCAGACCGCTGCCCCGCCCGCCCGGGAGGACTGCCCGCCCGGGAGGACCGCCCGCCCGGGAGGACCGCCATGCGGAGAGGCCCGGAACGGCCCTGGCACAGATGGCGAGGCAGAGGGCTTTGTTCTGCTTATCTGCAGGCTCAGGCTTCCCCACAAGGAGCCCGAATCCCTTTTTTAATTAGAAAAGCAAATGAGAAGCGCTGGCCGCCAAGCGAATGCAATCAGCGGCGGCAGAGGATCAGCGGCGAGCGCCGGGCCAGGCCCGCGGCTGCAGGCTCGGCCGCTAATCCCGGGATGAGGTTCTGTCGGCGCCCGCGGCTGCGGAAACCTGTCCCCGGCGCTACTTTCCTTTGGGGAGGGCGTGGGGGAGGGCGCTGGACAGCCAGAGGCCAAAGCCAACGTATCAGACGCTGCATTCTCACAGGAGTGAGCCAGGCAGGAGCTGGCCCCCAGCCGCCCCCGGACCGAGCTGGCCCCCAGCCGCCCCCGCACCGAGCTGGCCCCCAGCTGCCCCGAGGAAGAGCAGGTGCCGAAGGGTCTTGGGTTCAATTCCCAATAGAGGGCAGGCACCTGGGCTGCAGGTTCGATCCCAGGCCCCGGCCAGGGCGTGTGCAGGAGGCAACCAATCAACGTGCCTCTCCCTGTGCCGCTCCCTCTCCCTCCCTCTGTCTCTAAAACCAATGGAAAACTGTCCTCGGGTGAGGCGGAATAACAACAATATCTATATAGCTGAGCCCTCCCCCCAGAGCACGGCTTGGGTCAGTGTTGAAGTGTCTGTGGGGTCACCAGCCTCTGCTGGGACTTCCGCCTCCAGGACGGGAAGAGTTGCCTAAACCAGCAGCTCCCAGCCGTCCGGACCCCATGGACCTCAGGGCCCGCGGACGGCCGTGGGGGCGCCGTGGGGGCGCCGTGGGGGCACCGTGGGGAGCCGTGGGGGCGCCGTGGGGACGCCGTGGGGTGCCGTGGGGGCACCGTGGGGACGCCGTGGGGTGCCGTGGGGGCACCGTGGGGAGTGCCGTGGGGAGTGATGTGGGGGGTGCCGTGGGGGCGCCATGGGGAGCCGTGGGGGGTGCCGTGGGGAGCCGTGGGGGCGCCGTGGGGGCGCCGTGGGGAGTGCCGTGGGGAGTGGTGTGGGGGGTGCCGTGGGGGCACCGTGGGGAGCCGTGGGGGGTGCCGTGGGGAGCCGTGGGGTGCCGTGGGGGCGCCGTGGGGACGCCGTGGGGGGTGCCGTGGGGACGGCGTGGGGAGCTGTGGGGAGTGGTGTGGGGGGCGCTCTGGGGGCGCCGTGGGGAGCCGTGGGGAGTGGTGTGGGGGGCGCTGTGGGGGCGCCGTGGGGAGCCGTGGGGCGCCGTGGGGACCCGTGGGGCCCGCCGGTCTAAACCTCTCTGTGTGTGGGCTTTGCTCCGAGGCCCCGGAGAGGAAGGCGAGGGCGCGGGGGCGCGGGGGCCGGGCTGGCGCTGTTGGCGGGTGCTCCTGCCGGACCAGACAGGCACGGTGGCGGCCGGTTTGCTCACGGCCCCTGTGCGCCTCCCAGAGCCACTCACCTGGGTCTCCAGCTCCGTCACCTCCAGGTTCAGCTTGTTCAGGTGCTTGTTCACGAAGGTGATGAGAGACTGCAGAGGCAGAGGGTGTGTGAGACCAGCTCCCCTCCCCCCCGCCCCCAGCACAGGGACGGGGCTGAGAGCAGCTCCCCCCCCCCATTGCCCCCCCAGCACAGGGACGGGGCTGAGAGCAGCTCCCCCCCCCATTGCCCCCCCAGCACAGGGACGGGGCTGAGAGCAGCTCCCCCCCCACCGCCCCCCCAGCACAGGGACGGGGCTGAGACCAGCTCCTCCCCCCCCATTGCCCCCCCAGCACAGGGATGGGGCTGAGAGCAGCTCCCCCCCCATTGCCCCCCCAGCACAGGGACGGGGCTGAGAGCAGCTCCCCCCCCCGCCCCCAGCAGAGCGGGGCCCCGACCCCACAAGTGAGGGCGAACCCTTGGGGACCTCCCGGCCGAGGCGGGACGGGGTGGACGGGCCAGAGTGGGAGGGGGCTGGGAAGACCGGACGGGGCAGGGCCTGCAGGGAAGTCTGGGTGAGGGAAGCCCTCCCAGCAGCTCTGGCGGGTGGGTGGGGGGAGCTGGCGGCAGGGGAAAGGGTTTGGTCTGGTTCGGTGCTGAGCAGCCGGCCCGGACGTCCTGGCGGAGAGCCAGCTCGGGCCATTTCTGTGCGGACGCAGCCTCGTGGGAGCCGGCCACGCGGCCCGGGGGACGCACCACAGACGGCGGGAGCGGAGGTGCCCGTTCCACGGCCGTGGTTAGGTGTCACCAGTCACACTCCGGGCAGATGTCTCAGCCCCACACGGTCCCCCTCCCGTCCGCCCCGGGGGCGGGCTCACCTTCTTCACCAGGCTCAGCTTGTCCGGGGCGTGGTCGAACAGCGTGTCGAAGGCATCGCGCTCTGCGTGGGGACACGGGAGGGTCAGGCACCGCGCAGCTGCGTCCCCACGCCCGTCTGTCCCGGAGGCGGCGGCCTCAGACAGACGGCCGCGCCAGCCTCACACAGACGGCCACGCCGGCCTCACACAGACGGCCACGCGGCCTCAGACAGACGGCCACGCCGGCCTCGGACAGACGGCCGCGCCGGCCTCACAAAGACAGCCACAGCGGCCTCACACAGACGGCCACGCGGCCTCGGACAGACGGCCACGCCGGCCTCACACAGACGGCCACGCCAGCCTCGGACAGACGGCCACGCGGCCTCACAAAGACGGCCACGCCGGCCTCACAAAGACGGCCACGCCGGCCTCACACAGACGGCCAGGGCGGCCTCACACAGACGGCCACGCCGGCCTCACAAAGACGGCCACGCCGGCCTCGGACAGACAGCCACGCGGCCTCGGACAGACGGCCACGCCGGCCTCGGACAGATGGCCACGTGGCCTCGGACAGACGGCCACGCCGGCTGACCCTGCAGCTCCCGCAGGTGCAGAGCAGGCGCCACGGGGCAGGCACCGCCGGGCCCTGCTCACAGCGTCTCTCCTCCGATAGGACCCAGCAGCACGGGCGCCCCCCTCACTGAGGACAGAGGCTCCTGTCCCCACAGTCCCTGGCCGTAACCCCCTGGGTCCCCCGGACACGGCTCCTCCTCGGCCACAGCCGCCCACCGGCCCCCGCCCTCCCCCGGCCACGGCCCCTCCAGCCCCCCGCCCTCCCCCGGCCACGGCCCCTCCAGCCCCTCGCCCTCCCGGGCGCAGCTGCTGCCACCGGCTTCCCAGACCCCAGGCCCCGCCCCCTTCCCCTCCCCAACTCCGATCCGGAGCCAGGCTCCCCCAGGCAGAGAAGCTCCGGAAAGTGCAGATCAGACCCTTTCTTACATCCTCCCCACCCCGCGCACACTGGAGTCCCCACACTTCTCGTCCTCCTGAAGCTCAGATCACTCCCTCCTGTGGGCCTCAGACTCCAGGGCTCAGCGTCTCTCTCACAGACACACACACACACACCCCGACACACACACACACACTGACACACACACACACACACACCCTCCTGCCTTCACTCCGCCATCCAGCGGCCAGGCCCCTGCACGTCCCCTCTCACCGGCCTGTGTGCAGCCTCCTGGCCTCCCGCCTCCCCTCCTCCCGCCTCCCCGCCTCCCGCCTCCCCTCCGGTAGGTGCTCCCGGCACCGCCTCCCGGCCTCCCGCCTCCCCTCCGGCAGGTGCTCCCGGCCTCCCGCCTCCCGGCCTCCCGCCTCCCCTCCGGCAGGTGCTCCCGGCCTCCCGCCTCCCGGCCTCCCGCCTCCCCTCCAGCAGGTGCTCCGGCCTCCCGCCTCCCCTCCGGCAGGTGCTCCCGGCCTCCCGCCTCCCGGCCTCCCGCCTCCCCTCCGGCAGGTGCTCCCGGCCTCCCGCCTCCCCTCCGGCAGGTGCTCCCGGCCTCCCGCCCCCCGGCCTCCCACCCCGGAGCGAGCAGCCCTCCGCCCTCCGCTGGCGCGGTGCTCACGCCGGCCACTGCCGGTGCGTTTGCTGTATGTCCGCCCCGCGTGACCGGCTGGGACTGCGCTGCCTGCACCTTCTCCGGCCACAGCGGCAGGACGGACGGGCAGGACGGAGACCAGGGTGGACACAGGGCTGCGGGGCCGCGCTGGCAGAATCTGTCCCGAAGGAGCCCTGTGCCCCACGGCTTCTGAGAGAAAGCCAATCCCCAGACCCAGTGTGGAGTTCTGGGGCCGGGCCAGCCCAGTGGGGTGTGGGAAGCTCCTCCTCAGCCTGGGTGGCAGGAGCCGGAGTAGGGCGCTCAGGGTGCTCCTGGCCTGTGCTGCTGAGGGGGCGGGAGGGGGCGGGGGGCAATGAGGGAAGGCAGGGCTCCTGGAGGAAGCACCCACCCTGCCCCCACTTGGCCCTGAAAGGAAGGTGCTCAGTGCTCTGAACCCAGGGGCAGGGGCACCCAGGACCAGGGGCACCCAGAGGCACCCAGGGGCAGGGGCACCAAGGGGCAGGGGCACCCAGGGGCAGAGCCACCCAGGGGCAGGGGCACCCAGAGGTAGGGGCACCCAGGGGCAGGGGCACCCAGGGGCAGGGGCAGGGGCACCCAGAGGTAGGAGCACCCAGGGGCAGGGGCACCCAGGGGCAGAGCACCCAGGGGCAGGGCACCCAGGGGCAGAGCCACCCAGGGGCAGGGGCACCCAGGGGCAGGGGCACCCAGAGGTAGGGGCACCCAGGGGCAGGGGCACCCAGGGGCAGGGCACCCAGGGCCAGGGCACCCAGGGCCAGGGGCACCCAGAGGTAGGGGCACCCAGGGGCAGGGGGACCCAGGGGCAGGGCACCCAGGGGCACCCAGGGGCAGGGCACCCAGAGGTAGGGGCGCCCAGGGGCAGAGGCGCCCAGGGCCAGGGGCACCCAGGGGCAGGGCACCCAGGGCCAGGGGCACCCAGAGGTAGGGGCACCCAGGGGCGGAGCAGCTCCGGCCCTGCCCGGCCCAGGGCACCTCGGCTCCAGGGGGCGGGGAGGAAGCTGAGAGGCGAAGGCGAAGGGAGAGAAGGAAGGCGTGTGTGGTGTGTACACACGTGAACATGGGGACGGCGTGTGCATGTGTGGGGAGGGGACGTGACCGTAGGCCCAGCGTGCGGAGCTCCCTGCCATGTTCCGGAAGCACAGCTCGGGCTCGAGAGCCGGGGGAGCGGCTGGGCCCCGCCGGGCACCGAGGCAGGGGCAGCGTCACCATGCCGCCGGCCCTGGCAGGGCACAGCCCCGGTCCATCCCCGCCGCCACTCCCAGGCCCGTCCAGGCGGGTGGCTCCCGGCACAGCGGGAGCCGGCACAGCCCCCCCTCCCCTCGCCCCTCGGTGTGCGCTCCGGGCGGACAGGCACACGCCCGCGGCACGCACTCCGCCCACGGCCCTCGGCCTGCCTCCCATCGGGGCAGAGGGTAAACAGGGGGAGGCCCTGCCCTCGGGAGGCAGAGGGTAAACCGAGGCACAGGGCGGCCGCAGTGACTCGAGCAGCCCGGGCCTGCTGCCCTCCTCCCTCGGGGACGGCCCGTTGGGCCCAGACGACGTTTTGTGTGTTTGTGTTTGTTTGAAGTTGGAAGCTTTGCCCACAGCCCTGAACCCCTGGCTGCTCGGAGGAACTGGGGCCGGGGCACATTCCCACGGGGCATCACCCAGCCGCTGTGGACATGGAGTGTGGGCTCAGACCACCCCGCCCACTGCCCCCAACGGGCCACCGGGCAGCTGCCCGTACCTCTGTTCCAGCCGCTTCCCTCTCCCTGCTGCCCGGTCCGGTCCGGAGGCAGCCAGGGCCAAGGCCGTGAACTCTCCGGGCTGAGGGGGGTGGCGGAGAGTGGGGGTCAGAGGGGGAGCTTCTCCCAGCTCCCCTCGCGGGGAGGGGCCCAGAGGGGGAGGGGCGCCGGGAGCCGGCAGGCAGCACTCCGGTTGCCATGGAGACCGGGCTGCAGCTCCCCAGCTCCTCTGGGGAGCCGAGAGGGAGGAGGCCCGGAGCCGGGGGCAGGGCGGGCGGCCAGAGGCCCCCTCCCTCCCTCCCTCGCCCGGAGTGCCGATGTGAGACACTGAGGCAGAGAACACGCTTCTCGGGAAGCCGGGGGGGGGGGGGACCCCGAGGGGAGCTGGGGAGCCTCGGCCACGGAGGTCTGCCCGGGTCCCGGACGCTCCCGGGCACCGCCTCCCGGCACTGCGGTGAGGGAGCCCGGCTCCCGGGACGCTCACCGCTCAGAAAGGGGGGCTGGGTCCCTACGCTGCCTGGTCCCCTGTCTGCCCACGGGGCAGGCCCAGGTGAGTGCCACTGGCCTGGGAGCAGAGGGTGGCCACGGGGTCGGGAGGCCCCGCAGAGGGAGAGCGAGCGGGCGCGGAGCGGGACCCCGGCTGCAGGGGAGAGTGTGGCCGCAGGACCTGAAGGCCCCGCTAGGACCTAGGACCAGGCTTTGTCTTTAAGGAGGTGAGGGTGGTGAGGGGGGTGAGGGGAGCGGAGTGCGTCAGGGAGCGGCCCTGTGACGGGCTGAGGGCACCGCAGAGGCTGCGCCTGGGTATCCAGGAGACCCGCGTGCGTCAGCGCAGCCCCCGGGACCAGCTGACTGCCGCCACCCACTGCGGCCGGCTGGCATCGCGCCCGCAGGAGCCGCGGAGGAATGAGGCCAGGCCGCTGCTGCCTGCCGCCTGCCCCTGCGCCCTCCCTGCGCTCCCCGCCAGCGGCACCCGCGCCCGTCCACCGAGGGCGCACAGCCCCCAGGTCCCCCTCTCCCCTCTCCCCACCCCCCGCCTCCCACCAGGCCGGCCGGACACGGACGTGGCAGAGAAAACCACCGACCACAGTTCACACGCCCGGGGTCCCACTGCTCAGCCTGTGCCCCACCGCCCACGCCCGGCCCTCCGGGCAGGAAGGACGGGGCGGCCACAGGAGGGCGCACTGCCCCAGGCGGCCTCCACCCCAACGCAGGCAGGCCAGGCTGCCAGGAGGCCCGTCTACTGGGGCGTCCGGCGTGGGCCCGGGGCTGCACTGCCCACCCCAAGGAAGCCATGAGCTGGAGGTTTTGGGGTGAAAGACTAGGCATTTCCCTGGAGGATTGTCCTCCGGGCTAATGGGGCTCCGAATAAGAGCCACACCCACCCTCCCCTTGTCCTGGTTTCTGCTCCGTCCCAGGCCCTGGTGAGAGTGTGTGCCGCCCGGACACTCCGGTCCTCCTGCCACCGACACTCCCCGCCCCGGCCCTCCCGGCGCCGAGAGCCGCCACGGCCCCGGCCACGGCGCAGGGCCCGCCGGAGCCACGGACTTGCCGTATGACTGCGTGAACCCGGGGGCTTCCTGGGACAGCCCAGCCCCCCAGACCCCCACCCCCACCGGCCCCAGGTTACTCACCAAACCGGCCCATCATCTGCCTGCAAACGAGAGACAGAGACGCACGTCAGAGAGAGAGACACGCCAGAGACACACGTCAGAGAGAGACACACCAGAGACACGTGTCCGAGGGGCCGCTCACCGCGGCCCGGCCTGCTGGAGGCGCTGGGGTGACTCGAAATCAGGCGGGAACGCCCACTGAGGGCTGTTTGTAAAGCGTGGCCACACGGGGTGCCCCCTGGGCCACAGGAGGTCACCGGCACCTGAGCCGCCCTGTGGTCTCGGGGGTGGGGTAGGGGATGGGGTACGGCCTGGAGGGTCCACGTGGAGCACATGCGGCTGCTCGGCCTCCGGGCAGCCCTGGCGGCAGCCCTGCACCAGGAACAGCTCCCGGGAGCCCACCCCTGAGGGACCGCGCCCGAGGGTCCCAGGAGCCTACCCCTGAGGGACCGCGCCCGAGCCCACCCCTGAGGGACCGAGCCCGAGGGTCCCAGGAGCCCACCCCTGAGGGACTGCGCCCGAGGGTGCCCAGGAGCCCACCCCTGAGGGACCGCGCCCGAGGGTGCCCAGGAGCCCACCCCTGAGGGACCGAGCCCGAGGGTCCCCAGAGCCACGGAGGGTGGGCACCCCGCTTCGCCTTGAGGATTTCTGGGGCACAAATGCACAGCCCCTCCCCACTGCGCCCCTTCCTGATAGGCAAGCAATGCTAACTCCGTCCCCCCGTCCGCTGGACTCGCACCCTCTGCCTGCCCCTCACTCGCAGCTGTTTCCTGAGCGCCTGTGACATGCGGGCTGCGGAGACACAGACACCGGCCCTGTGCCGGGGACGCTGGCACTGACAGAGGCGCGGCCCACATTCCCACCCTCCGTGTGACAGGCAGGAGGCGCTGTGGGGGCTAAAGGAAGGCAGGGAGGGCTCCCTGTAGGCAGTGGCCGCAGAGCTGGCCTGAGAGAGGAATGGGAGGGATGTGAGGCTGGACAGGAGGCGAGGAGGACAGAGAGGAGGAGGCTGAAGAAACAGAGCCAGTGTGGGTGGTAAATTAACGGGCGCTGGGGGTGTCTGAGCCTCCCAACGCCCACTCCCCCCTCTCCGCTGCCTGGAGCCCGCCTTCCACCACGAGGTGAGAGCCCTTGGCCTGGGGGCAGTTACGCCAAGTGCTTTCCCACACCTGCTCTGTCAGCGTCTGAGACTTCCTTCCTCTCTCCCTTCCTGCTGAGGGATGTTGAACACGATCACCTGTGTTTTTATTTACGCCTAGAGGCCTGGTGCACGGATTCGTGCCCGGATGGGGCCTGGCAGGCACGCCCGATGGGGGCTGATGGGCCAGGCCAGCCAGGAGGGACATGGAGGTTGGCCGGCCAGGCCCACCCTCATGGGCGTGGGGGGCGATGGGGGGGCAGCCAGGGGAGGAGCGTGGACAGCAGCCGGCCTGCCCCGCCCTGTGGCTGAACTCCCAGTCAAGGGGACGGTTTGCATATCAGCCTTTTACTACATAGGATTGTCTGCCTCGCCCCACAAAGATCTCAGGCGCCCGTGTGCGGTCGGACACCTATGCCACCCGTGGGAAGGAGTAACAGATCGGACCCTCATTCCGACCCCCAACCACACCGCCACCCGGCCGAACGCATCCAACAGAGGACAGACCGAAGCACGCGTGTGCAGGCCGTGAGGCCAGGCCCACACCGTGAGAAAGCGCCGCCGCCACGGGGAGGGGGGGGAGGGGAGGGGAGGGGAGGGGGGGAGGGGAGGGGAGGGGAGGGGAGGGGAGGGGAAGGGAGGGCGGGAGGGAGGGAGGGACGTGCGGGCAGCCCCCGCAGCGGCCACTTACTCGGTGGTCGTGGTCAGCTCCTCGATGACGTGGCTGGAGTGCAGCAGGCCTTCCCGCTTCTGAAAACCCCAAGCGCACAGGTGAGCACGCGGGCGATCGAGTGGGGCCTGAGGAGGCGGTGCCCAGGGCCGCCCGCGGTGCTGGCTGAGGGGGAGCGGCCAGGGCGGCCGCGGGCTGAGCCGTGCAGAGCGTCCAGCCCCTGAGCCCAGGCAGAGGCCCTCTGGGGCTGGAAGCGCCCCGCCCCCGGCTCTCCACGTGGCTCCAGAGCTGGCAGCTTTGGGGGCTCGAGACCCCCGCTCCCATGGGGACCCCTCACCACACCCCGCACCCCGCACCCGGGGGTGAGAAACTGAGGACAGACAGGGACACGTGGGAGGCAGCCAGGGGAGTGACCACCAGCAGCACGGCTGCCGGGCCCCCGGGCAACGGGCCCCCCGGTTGACAGGGCCCCCCGGCTGACAGGGCCCCCCCCCAGCTGACAGGGCCCCCCCCGGGCTGACAGGGGCCCCCCCGGGCTGACAGGTCCCCAGGCTGACAGGGCCCCCCCCCCCGGGCTGACAGGGGCCCCCACCCCCGGGCTGAAACAGGGGCCCCCCCCCTGGGCTGAGGGCCCCTGGGCTGACAGGGCCCCGGGACTGAAGGGCCCCCGCCCGGCTGACAAGGGACCCCCCCGGCTGACAAGGCCGACCCCCCCGTGCTGACAGAGGCACCCCCCCGGGCTGACAGGGCCCCCCCCCCGGGCTGACAGGGCCCCCCCCCGGGCTGACAGGGCCCCCCCCGGGGCTGACAGGGCCCCCCCGGGCTGACAGGGCCCCCCCCTGGGCTGACAGGGCCCCCCCCCGGCTGACAGGGCCCCCCCGCCCTACAGGGCACCCCCGCCCCGGCTGCCGGGCCCCCCCGGGCCATGACCATATTTACCCCCCCCGGCCTGAACAGGGCCCCCCCCCCCCCCCCCGGCGACAGGGCCCCCCTGGCTGACCGGGCCCCCCCCCCCCCGGCGGACAGGGCCCCCCCGGGCTTGACAGGCCTCCCCCGGACTGACAGGGCCCACCCACCGGCGACAGGGGCCCCCCCGGCGCTGACAGGCCCCCACCCCAGGCTGACAGGGCCCCCCCCGGCTGACAGGGCCCCGCCACGGGCTGACAGGGGGCCCCCTCGGGCTGACAGGTCCCCCCCGGGCTGACAGGGCCCCCGCCCCCGCTGACAGGGCCCCCCGGGCTGACAGGCCTCCCCCGGGCTGAACAGGGCCCCCCCCGGGCTGACAGGGGCCCACCCCCCCCTGGCTGACAGGGCCCCCCCCCCGGGCCTGACGGCCCCCCCCAGTCGGGTCTCCTTGAAGCCTGTGAAGCAGGGTCTCTGCAGAAACCATCGCGAAGAGGAGGCCACAGGGGATCTGGGGGGTCCCAGTGGACATGGCCAGGCCCTGGCCAGGAGGGACCATGGAGACAGACAGATGGACACAGGAGAGAGGCCACGTGACAGCAAAGCAGACACCGGACAGATGTGCCCACCAGCCCAGGACCCTGGCCCCCAGGACTGAGCGGCCGCCAGCAGCCAGGATGGGAGGGGGCTCGTCCCCTGGGGCCCTCGGAGGGACCCGGCTGCCCCCCTCACCAGGCCCTCCCCTCCTCACTGGGGAGCAAACGGCCGTTGTTTTACTTTTTAATTTTTAAAAAAATGTTCTTATTAATTTTGGAAACACCCATGATGAGAGAGAGCCGGGATCGGCTGCCTCCTCCATGCCCCACACTGGGGGTGACCCTGCAGCCGGGCACGTGGCCTGGCCGGCAATCGAACCGTGACCTCCTGGCTCACAGGTCGACGCTCAACCACGGAGCCGCGCCGAGGGGCCCGTGTCCGTGGTTTTATTTTTTTATTTACTTTTATTACATTATTATCTGTGTACATGTTTTAACATTGCCCCCCATGTCCGTGGTTTTAAAGCAGCTCTTTGGTGGCGCTTTGTTAGAGCAGCTGCAGGACAATGACACGCGTCTGACACACGTTCCCTGGTGCCTGGCATGTGAGGGCGTGACGGCGGGGAGATGGGGAGGTGTGGGGGGTGAGGGAGGACGGGGTGGGGGCAGGGAGCCTGTATGTCATTGGCGCTTGGCGGCCAGCTAACCACCCCCCCACCAGCCCCTCCTGAGGCCGGAGCCCTCCCTGCTGGGCAGCCCCACGGACTCCTCCCAAGACCCAGGCGCCCGTGTCCTGGGCTCCTGTCCCCGAGGTGCCCCCCCCCCCCACGGGCGCTGGCGGCTCTCGTGGCACCACCCTGTCTCATCTGGGGGAGCCCGGGGGCTTGAACACCGATTCACTTTCCCATCAAAGGCCCGAGAGCAGGTCCGGGGCAGCGGCAGGTCCCGGACGCCCGCCCGCCAGCCCCGCCCGCCCTGGGTTGGCCGCGGCCCCGGGCCTCCTGCCCGGACCCTGGCGCGGAGGACGCCAGCGCGAGCTTGCCCGGGTCAGGCAAATCCGCAAACCCCAGAGTTCCCTGCAAGGGCAGCCTGGACGGAAATACCCCATTACCGGCCGATGGAAACACCCCAATTACCCGGCAGGCCGACAGGAAATACCCGCTCCTGGCCCGGTCTGACGCGCGGGGCTGGAGCGTGTCCCGCGTGTCCTCAGGCAGCCTCTCCCGGCGGGCGGCCAGGCCGCATGGGCAGGAGGGCCCGCCTGGCACCCTGCGCCACAGCGCGCCCCGCAGGACACAAAAGCAAAAGTCCCCCCCCCCCCCGCCCCCGGCCCCGATGCCGGAGAAGGCTCTTGGCCGGAGGCTCGGTGGATTGGAACTTCGACAAGGTTGTGGGTTCCATCCCGGGTCAGGCACTTACGAGTCAACCAATGAATGAGCAGAACAACCAGTCCATACCCCTCTCTCCCTCCCTCTCTCTCTCTCTCCCTCTCTCCCTCCCTCCCTCCCCTCCCTCTCTCTCTCCCTCTCTCCCTCTCCCTCCCTCTCCCTGTCTCTCTCTCCCTCCCCCCTCTCCCTCTCCCTCTCTCTCAGTCAATGCCCCCCCCCCCAAACCAATCCATAAATTTTGTTCAGCTTTTTTCTTTTTAAGAGCAGGGCATTCTCACCTCTCAGGGCGGGGCCAGGCCCCGGGGAGGGCGGGGCCAGTTTTGGGGGAGACAGGATCAGAGCCTGGCAGACCAGTCCCCACAGGCCCTGCGCGTTCACTCCGGAGGGGAGCGTGGAGCCGGGCGTCTCAGTGAAACACACAGCCCCGGCCGGCCGCCCAGTGGTTAGAGCACCAGCCGGTGGACGTGAGGGTCACAGGTTCGATTCCCGGTCAGAGGTACACGGCTGGGTTGCAAGTTCAATCCCCGCCCCTGATGGGGTGCACGTGGGAGGCAACCGGTTCATGTCCTTCTCTCCCAACCTCTCTCTCTCTGTCTCTCTTCCTCCCTTCCACTCTCTCTAAAAATCAATGAAAAAATTATCCTCCGGTAAGGATTAAAAAATAATAAAAATAAAATAATACTGAAGACATCCGGTTCTGAGTGTCACCTTGGCAGAAGCGGCTGCTCCTGCGGACGCCAGCGTGTGGGCAGTACCAGCGCACAGTAGATGCTTAGCAGCCTCGACCTGGACCGAACTGCCTGGAGCCGGGGCCTCCCCCGCAGGACCCTCAGAGGGCCGGTCCGGGACCACTCCCCGGGGAGGCGGTGACAGGACCCGAGGCCGCCCCCGCGCAGGGGGGAGGCCCGGCTGTCCCTGGGACCTGGTGCCCCGCCCAGCCCTCCCCAGCGAGCCTCGGCTCTGAGAGCCACGGATGTCCTCCAGGCACCGCGGGGATGAACCACAGCCTCAGCCCCCACCCGGCTCTCCGGCCCTGCGCCCTCCAGCCTCCGGCTCCGCCTCCCAGGGCCGCTCTCACAGCCGCCGGGCGGGTGTGCGTGTGTCAGACGGAGAAACAGACGCAGCCTCTCGGGGCGGGAGGGGCAGGGGGACGGCGCCCGCGGTACTCACCCGCACGACCACCACCTGCACGGAGACGTGCTCGGGCAGGCGGATCGGCGCCCGGAAGTGCATGGCCAGCGACACCAGCAGGTGCAGGATGGCCACCAGGTTCTTCCCGTGGATGGCTGGGGGGGGGCGGGGGGGGGGGGGGAGAGCCGCTTTAGCCGGTTCTGCAGGGACCCAGCCCATTCTCCTCGGCTGGCGGGTTTTCCGTGGGTTTTCTCTGAGGTCCCATTTATGCTGCCTTTGGTATCTGGAGCTGAGTCCCCTGCAAGACTCCCCAATCCCCCCCACACACACACACAAATGGCTTCTGTCTTATAACTTGAACTCCTGTCTGTGGGAGCCATGCCAGAGTCACCGGACAGCCAGGCTACTTAGAGTGTGCAGCCTTGCTGAGCGTACGCCGGGCGGCCAAGGCCACTCTGAGCATGGGAACCTTAATCAGAATGTCCCAGGACTGCACTTACGTGCACAGCAAGGTCACTACTTGGAAAGAAGCCTCTTTGGTCTCAACTAGAGGCCCAGCGCACGAAATTCGTGCACAACGGGGTCTCAGCCAAGATGCGCCCTTTCACAGTCCAGGGGCCTCAGGGGACGGCCGACTACATTTTAAAAAATCACCCTGTACTTAATTTTCTTACTAATCCTCCTTTTACACTCCCCTCACCCTCACATTCTGTTTCTTCTTTATATTTAGCTGTTTTTCTGGCCTCACCCCATTTTAGCATTTTTCTCCGTCCTGCTTTCTTTCCCTCCCTCCCTTTGAACCTCGCACAGCCCCTCTCCTCCCTCCCTCATTCCCCGTCTGTCTCCTGCTTACTCCTCCCACCCTCCCCTCATCCCACTTTCCCTTGTGAGCCTGATCCTGCCTCCCTCCCTCCTTCCCTGTTATTACCCTCCACCCCCCGCCTCCACCATGTTCACTGGTTTCTCTTCCAAACCTCCCCCTTCCTCTCTGGGACCTGCTGCCAGCCCCACTGAGCGCACTTTGATATTAAAGCTTCCGTTTGGGGGGGTGTTAACCCCCAGCCCAGGGCCCCCCCCCCAACCAGCCTCCCCGCCATCCTCCTCCCATTCTCTGTCCCGGACGCCCCAAATGCTAGTCAACAAAGTACAGCCAACGCGCCACCAGCCTAACCCTGGCCAGTGTCTGGGGTCCAGCCCTCGGGGATGAAGGCGGTCCCCTCCTTAGTGTCCGACTCCCCCCAGCTAAGCTGTGCCTCCCCTCCCCCGCAGCGTGGGGCGCCGGCCAGGGAGGGTGGCTCCTGCCCAGGAGGCCTCACAGTCCACCCTCCGCCCCAACAGCCCACACCGGCCACCCACCCCTGCTCTATGCGCCTGAGCCCACCCCGGTCCCCACCCCCTTCCTCGTGCAGCCCCGGCTTCCTTCCCTTTTCCATTCCTGTATCTTTTCCTTGTTCCTTTTCTGTATTTCTGTTTCTCCTCCGGCCTGTCTGCATGCAGGCTGGCCCTCCTCCCCTCCCCTTTCTCATCCCTTCCTGTCCCATCCACTCCCAGGCCCCGCAGGGGCCTGAGCAGGGGCAGGACAGTGTGTGATGACATCCCGGACAGTGTGCATGTTCCTGTTATCAGTACAGACAGTATCATCCATCCACCAGCCAGTGTGCATCAGGGGAGGCTGGGAGAGGTGAGCGAGGCCGCAGCTCCGAGGGGGAGGGGCGTCTGCGGGGGAGCATGCTGCCCCTGGACCTGCACACGCCCCACCCCACCCCCCGCACACGCCCCTCCCCCTGCACACGCCCCTCCCCTGCACACACGCTCCCCCTGCACACGCCCTCCCCCGCACACGCCCCTCCCCTGCACACACGCCCTCCCCCGCACACGCCCCTCCCCCTGCACACGCCCCTCCCCCGCACACGCCCCTCCCCTGCACACACGCTCCCCGCCCCCCTCGCACGCGCCCTCCCCCGCACACGCCCCCTCCCTGCACACGCCCCTCCCCTGCACACACGCCCTCCCCCGCACACGCCCCTCCCCCTGCACACGCCCCTCCCCCGCACACACGCTCCCCGCCCCCCTCGCACACGCCCTCCCCCGCACACGCCCCTTCCCCGCACACACGCTCCCCCCCCCTCGCACGCGCCCTCCCCCGCACAAGCCCCTCCCCTGCACACGCGCTCCCCCTGCACACGCCCTCCCCCGCACACGCCCCTCCCCCGCACACACGCCCCTCCCCTGCACACGCCCCCCCCCCTCGCACACGCCCTCCCCCGCACACGCCCCTCCCCCGCACACACGCCCCCCCCCTCGCACACGCCCTCCCCCGCACCCGCCCCTCCCCCGCACAAGCCCCTCCCCCGCACACGCCCCTCCCCCCCCCCTCGCACGCGCCCTCCCCCGCGGCGCTCACCGTCCACCGTCCAGGGCAGCGCCCAGCCGTGGGGCCGCAGCAGCTCCTGCACGGCCTCCAGCACCGTCTGCAGCTTCTGCTTCTGCCCGATCTCCGACTGCGTGACCTCGGCCACGTTCAGCTTGCAGCCCGCCAGCGTCTCTGCAGGACGGCGGAGGGGGTGTCAGCAGAGCCCAGGGCCGCCGCCTGCTCAGCTCAGCGGCTCTGAGGAGGGCCCTGCCCAGGGGTCCGGGTCCGAGGTGGAGCCGTCCCCTGCCACAGCCGGGCTGGGGGCCGGTGAGCCGGGAACCCGCTCCTGAGACCGCTGCTGGGGGCGGAGAGGGCCGGGTGCGAGGGCACGGTCTTTGCACATGAAGCGGACCCATGGGTGGAGGCGCGGGGCAGGCACGTTCTCTCCCGGGCCCTCCCTCCCTCCCCCATGAGGACACACAGGCTGGGGTCCCTGAGGTCCCCCATCATAACGGGCTCGGTCCACTCCCTCACGGTGGCTGACACCTCCTGTGCGCCAGGCCCTGTCCCCCGAGCCCCCCCCCCCCCGTCCCCCACCCCCGGGTCCCCACTCCCCGGTCCCCGGGCTGCGGACCAGCGCGCAGCAGCTGCCGGCGGTCTGGAATCTGCGGTGCCCGCCCAGCCGTGGCTGGGAGCTCCGGTGGACGGCCACGGAGGACACACACATGACCTGAAGCCCGTGACTGGGAGCTCCGGTGGACGGCCACGGAGGACACACACGTGACCTGAAGCCCACGCCCCGGACGCCACCTGGGAGCCGCGGGCTCAGCGCTGAGCCCCAAGTCCCCTCCCAGGACGTGTGACCGATGCCACCATGGAAAGACCCCCACGGCCCAGCCTGGGCCGCCCTGTGCCGGGCCCTCTGGGGGATGGGGGGATGGGGGGCCGGGGCCGCCCTGTGCCGGGCCCTCTGGGGGATGGGGGGATGGGGGCTGGGGCTGCCCTGTGCCGGGGCCCTCTGGGGAATGGGGGATGGGGGCTGGGGCTGCCCTGTGCCGGGCCCTCTGGGGGATGGGGGGCCGGGGCCGCCCTGTGCCGGGCCCTCTGGGGGATGGGGGGCCGGGGCCACCCTGTGCCGGGCCCTCTGGGGGTGGGGGGATGGGGGGCCGGGCCGCCCTGTGCCGGGCCCTCTGGGGATGGGGGATGCGGGGCCGGGGCTGCCCTGTGCCGGCCCTCTGGGGGGAGCGGGGATGGGGGGCCGGGGCTGCCCTGTGCCGGGCCCTCTGGGGGGATGGGGGCCCGGGTCACCCTGTGCCGGGCCCTCTGGGGGGATGGGGGGCCGCCCTGTGCCGGGCCCTCTGGGGGATGGGGGCCGGGGCCGCTCTGTGCCGGGCCCTCTGGGGGATGGGGGATGGGGGGCCGGGGCTGCCCTGTGCCCTGTGCCGGGCCCTCTGGGGGATGGGGGGCGGGGGGGCCGCCCTGTGCCCTGTGCCGGGCCCTCTGGGAGATGGGGGATGGGGGGCCGGGGCCACCCTGTGCCGGGCCCTCTGGGGGCTGGGGGGCCAGGGCCGCCCTCCGGACTCACCCAGCAGCTTCTGCAGCACCTGCCCATCAAACAGGTCCTCCTCCAGCTGCTTCACGATGATCCTGTCCTCCACCAGCACCTCGTTGATCCAGTCGATGAGAACCTGGGGAGGGGAGGGTGAGGCCAGCTCAGCAGCACCCGGACCAGGGCAGCGGTCAGGGCTGCCGCAGGAGACATGAGCTGCTGGACATTGGCCATCAGGATGGCCTCAGCACAGGGCCCGGGGGAGGAGCCGGAGGGGTGGCCCCGGGCTGCCAGGGCCCCCCAGACAGGCCTCCTCCGGGCGGTGACTCAGGGAGGGGGCCCTCAGTCAACGGAGGGATGGCACCTGCTCACCATGGCGCCAGCTGGGGGTCGGATGAGTCTTTGTGAGCAGCACTGCCCGCGTGCCCCAGGCAGTCCGGGGGGCTAAGATGTCCGTCCCCTCCCTCCCGTTAGATCCGCACCAGGACATACCCGAACACCCGGAGCCTGACCCCAAAGCTGAGAGAAGGGGACCCCAAGGCTCCCCAAGCTCTGAGCTCCTGCTCTCTCTGCAGCTTCATAGACACAGTCACACCCCATACCCGCTGCTCTGCAGTGAGCGAGCCAGCGTTCCCAGCACCCACACCGCCATCCAATGCCGCATGAGCCCGCGAAGGGCATCCTCGTCACCCGGAAAGAAACCGGACCTGTCCACAGTCACCCCCCGCCCCCGCCCCCCGCCCTCGTCCCCGTGTCTTCCCACCACCGAGCGTCTGCCCCGGGCATGGATTTGTCTGTTCTGACGTTTCATCCAATGGAGTCAGGTGACACGTGACCTTCTATGTCCTTTCACTTAGCGTGACGTGTTTGTTTTGTGTCGTTGTTAGTATTGACTTCAGAGAGAGGAAGGGAGGGAGAGAGAAACCTCAATGAGGAGAGTCACTGAGCGGCCGCCTCCTGCGCCCCACACGGGGATCGAGCCCGCCACCCGGGCACTGCCCTGCCTGGCACCGCGGGCGGCCTTCCTGCCCACAGGCCGATGGGCAGCTGGCGCCCCGCCGGCCGGGCCTGACCCCGTCACCCCCGCCGGCCGGGCCTGTCCCCCGTCACCCCCGCCGGCCTGGCCTGTCCCCCGTCACCCCCGCCGGCCGGGCCTGTCCCCGTCACCCCCGCCGGCCGGGCCTGTCCCCCCGTCACCCCCGCCGGCCTGGCCTGTCCCCCGTCACCCCCGCCGGCCGGGCCTGTCCCCGTCACCCCCGCCGGCCGGGCCTGTGCCCCCGTCACCCCCCGCCGGCCTGGCCTGTCCCCCGTCACCCCCCGCCGGGCCGGCCTGCCCCCGTCACCCCCGCCGGCCGGGCCTGATCCCCGTCACCCCCGCCGCCGGGCCTGTCCCCCGTCACCCCCGCCGGCCGGCCTGTCCCCGTTCCCCCCCCCCCGTCACCCCCCGGCCTGGCCTGTCCCCCGTCACCCCCGCCGGGCCGGGCCTGACCCCGTCACCCCCGCCGGGCCGGGCCTGACCCCCGCCCGTCACCCCCGCCGGCCGGGCCCTGTCCCCGTCACCCCCGCCGGCCGGGCCTGTGCCCCCGTCACCCCCGCCAGCCCGGCCTGACCTCCGTCACCCCCGCCGGACCGGGCCTGACCCCGTCACCCCCGCCGGCCGTGCCTGTGCCCCGTCACCCCCGCCGGCCGGGCCTGTCCCCCGTCACCCCCGCCGGCCGGGCCTGACCCCGTCACCCCCGCCGGCCTGGCCTGACCCCGTCACCCCCGCCGGCCGGGCCTGTGCCCCCGTCACCCCCGCCGGCCGGGCCTGTGCCCCCGTCACCCCCGCCGGCCGGGCCTGTCCCCCGTCACCCCCGCCGGCCGGGCCTGTCCCCCGTCACCCGTCACCCCCGCCGGCCGGGCCTGACGCTGTCATCACCACACGCCGACTCTGCACCCCGTCCTCCTGAGGGGGGGCTAAGATGTCCGTCCCCTCCCTCCCGTCAGTTCACACCCGTGCGCCGCGTTCCGGGTGTGAACACAGGCCTCTGGCGCCCCCATGGGGCCCCCTGGCGGCTGTGTGGCTGGTGCTGCTCTGAAGGCGGTGCGCCCGCGCCTCCCCCGGGCAGCCTTCCGCTCAGCTCCGCTTCCTGGGAGGACGGACGGCGGCACGTCGCCTGCAGAGACCTCCGGCTGCCGGGCCCTCTGCGGAGCCGGGACCCCGCCCCCACGCTGCCACGGGGCCGACGCTCCAACAGCACTTCTCCACAAATAACGCGGGCAAAACCAACTGCAGAGCTGCCTGCAGACGGCCCGGGGTGCAGTCCTGCAGGGAGACGCTAAAGCCCCATATTCCGTCTGGATCTCGAACCCAGTCAAAGGCCAAACACAAACCACAGCCAGACCAAGAGGAAAACCAGCTCGGCCCGCGGGCCGGGTCACCCAGCTCCGGGAGCCAGCACAGTGCCCGGTGTGCCTGCCGCCCGAGCAGGTGGCCGGTGCTCCCGGCTCACCCCTCCGCATCCCCCGCTCCCTGGCCTTTTCCTCGGGGGCGTCCTCATTGCGAGCCACGGACCTGCCGGCGTGGGGCGAGGCCGTATCTTAGCGACGCCCGACGCCCTGGGCGCCTGCTCTGGGCACAGAGCGTGACGAGCTCGCTGAAACCAGAATAAAAATCACTTTCCCTTTAGTTCCCCCGATGATCGGGGCCGGGCCTGTCTCCCCGCAGCGATGACAGCTACGTTTTAATCTCCGCCAAGCTGCCGTGGCTGCCGAGTCCTGAGACGGGGTCCGGGCCCGGGGCTGCGCCAGATCGCCTCCCGGCGTCTCCCCCAGCTGACAGCGCCCCCTCTGCCCGGGGGGCGATCCCCACAGCGGCCTGTCTCCCCGCGGACGAGGAGGAGGAAGAGGCCGGACAGCCAGGCGAGGCGGTCCGCTGACCTGGGGAGGAGATGGAAGCCACCACGGAGCAGCCCACGCCCTGCTCTGCTCTCCGCGATCCCCGCCCCGCCCGCCCCATCACCGCCCGCCTCCCCTGCCGGCCTGGCGGCTGGAAGGGCCCCTCTCCTCACCGACACTCCGTCTGAGCAGCATCACCCGTTCTCGGGGGAAAACCGTAAAAAGTAAACTGGGGTCCACACCGGTGGGCGGGTCCTCACACTGACATTTCCCGTCTGTTCTTAGGCTGGGCCTGCGTGTCAGCCCTGGGACACAGCCAGGCGGGCCACGGCAGCGGGCGGGGAGAAACTCACAGAAAGCACTTCGAACGGAACTTTTCTGTCCGTGACACGCGGGCCGACACAGGGCCCAGCCCGGGAGCGGGTGCGGCTGCCGAGCAGAGGGCCGTCCGCGGCTGTGGCTCTGGAGCCGGCACTGCTGCCCCGGGCTCCAGAGCCCGTCTCCCCGGCTCTCAGGCTCCTCTCCCCGGCCCTCAGGCCCCGTCTCCCCGGCCCTCAGGCCCGTCTCCCCGGCCCTCAGGCCCCTCTCCCCGGCCATCAGGCCCCGTCTCCCCGGCCCTCAGGCTCCTCTCCCCGGCCCTCAGGCTCCTCTCCCCGGCCCTCAGGCCCCTCTCCCCGGCCCTCAGGCCCCGTCTCCCCGGCCCTCAGGCCCCGTCTCCCCGGCCCTCAGGCTCCTCTCCCTGGCCCTCAGGCCCCTCTCCCTGGCCCTCAGGCCCCGTCTCCCTGGCCCTCAGGCCCCGTCTCTCTGGCCCTCAGGCCCCGTCTCTCTGGCCCTCAGGCCCCTCTCCCCGGCCCTCAGGCCCCTCTCCCCGGCCCTCAGGCCCCGTCTCTCTGGCCCTCAGGCCCCGTCTCTCTGGCCCTCAGGCCCGTCTCCCCGGCCCTCAGGCTCCTCTCCCTGGCCCTCAGGCCCCTCTCCCTGGCCCTCGGGCCCCGTCTCTCTGGCCCTCAGGCCCCTCTCCCTGGCCCTCAGGCTCCTCTCTGGTCAGCACTTCCAGTCGCTGTGAAGCTGACCGTCCGCCCAGATCAGGGAGTCCATCGGTCGGGTGGGAGCGGGAGCAGCCAGGGGTCACACTCCCGCTGGGGGCGCTGCCTCTGAGCCCCTCCACGCCCGGGCGGCGGCCCTCCCTCCAGCCGCTCCTCTGCCCGGCGCAGAGTGTAAGCCAGCGTTTCAAAGGCCCCCTGAGCCCCGGATGGTTGCTCAGTGGTTAGAGCATCGGCCTGAGGACTGAAGGGTGGTGGGTTCGATTCCGCTCAAGGGCGCGTCCCTCGGTTGCAGGCTCCATCCCCAGCCCCAGTCGGGGCAGGTGTGGGAGGCAACCAATCAATGTGTCTCTCTGTCTCTCCCCTCCCTCCACTCTCTCTAAGAATCAACGGAATTAACCAAAAAAATGTTTTTAAAGGAAAGGCACCAGTGAAGGGGGCCCCTAGGGGGTGTCCACGCTGTGACCGTGACCTTGACCCCGTCCTCCATTCAGCCTCCTCGCCTCCCAGCCTCCCGAGCGCAGCATCAAGCCCCTCCCCAGCCCCCGGGTTGGCTCCTTTCCCTCCTCACCTTGACCAACTCCTTGAACTTGGGGTCATCCTTGGAGGTGGGGTCGATCATCGTGCGCTCCTCATTCTCCTCTGCAGGGACAAAGGGCAGGGGCAGGGGTAGGAGCAGGAGCAGTGGCAGGGTCAGGGTCAGGGTCAGGGTCAGGGGCAGAGTCAGGGGCAGGGGCAAGGGCAGGGGCAGGGGCAGGGGCAGGGGCAGGGGCAGGGTCAAGGGCAGGGGCAGGGGCAGGGGCAGGGTCAAGGGCAGGGGCAGGGGCAGGGGCAGGGGCAGGGGCAGGGTCAAGGGCAGGGGCAGGGGCAGGGGCAGGGTCAAGGGCAGGGGCAGGGGCAGGGTCAAGGGCAGGGGCAGGGGCAGGGGCAGGGTCAAGGGCAGGGGCAGGGGCAGGGGCAGGGGCAGGGTCAAGGGCAGGGGCAGGGGCAGGGTCAAGGGCAGGGGCAGGGGCAGGGGCAGGGGCAAGGGCAGGGGCAGGGGCAGGGGCAGGGTCAAGGGCAGGGGCAGGGGCAGGGGCAGGGGCAGGGGCAGGGGCAGGGCCTGGGCAGAGGCAGGCTGGAGGCATCATTGACCAGACAACAGCCCAGCACACGCTAAGGCGACTCCACTTCCTGCCCCTGCTGGTCCCAGCTTCTCAGCCAGGACGGACCGTGTCCCCGCGGGAGGGGGAGGGGTGCTGCTGGCATCTGCTGGGCAGAAGCCGGGGGCGCTGACCCAGGACGACCCCACACCACGGGCTTAGCCGGTGCCGGCTGGCATGTGCCGGCTTAGCCAGTGCTGGCCAGCGTGGTGCCGGGCGGAGAGGCTGACCTGACACCCCCTCGGACGGGCCCCCAGGAGCACCCGCCAGGGTAGCAGCCAGCCGGCCCGGGACCCTGAGCAGCTGGACCACAGGAGCTGTGCTCTGCCGGAGGAGGGAGGAGCCGGGGCCCCGGGCCCAGGGAGCCGGCCAGGCCTGGCCGGGGCGGCCGCCAGCGCGCTGGCCTTGCCCGGAGCCCTCGCTGGCCGCCGTGATGCGGAAACCACAGCGGCCGCCGCCGGGACTCCCCCGTGAGCCGGGCTTTGGGAACAGACGGAATGTTCCGCCGCTGCCTTCCGAGCCAGCGGGGCCCACAGCACGCTGTAAGGCCGTGGTCGGCAAACTGCGGCTCTTTGGCCCCTCGAGGGTGGCTCTTCCACAAAAAAACACGGCCCGGGGGAGTCTACTTTGAAGATGTGGCGTTAGAAGTTTAAGTTTAAAAACGTGGCTCTCCAAAGAAATGCCAATCGTTGGGCTGTTGCTAGTTGGCTCTGTGGACTCCTGAGTTTGCCGACCACTGAGGGGGGTTGGTGCAGGCCGCCCCCTCATCAGGGCCGACCAGGGTGGCCCTGGAGCTGAGTACGCCTGGAGTCCCACCCGAAGGCCGGGCGGGGCAGCCAGCCTGCAGGGGTGGGAGGGGGGGTGTACTCGTGTGTCTGATGTTCTGATGCTGCACTTTGGGGTCTGAGGACCTGAGGGAGGGCCCCTCCCAGGGTCCGCTCATCCCACGCCAACCACGGCCCGCGAGGGCCTTTCCCACGCAGCCTGGCAGGAGCCGGCACCCATCCCGGGCTCCCACATGCCCAGCGACACCCACTTCCTGCATCTTCACCCAGGGCCGCTCCCGTCCCTCTGGCACCTTCCTCCAAAGGCCTCGCGCTCAGAGCCAGCCTCCCACGTGTGCCAGGTGCCGTATGAACAGGAGGCCGCCACCCAGCGTCCCCGCCCCCAGGCCTGGGCCAGGCCGGGGCCTCCGCTGGCGCTCAGCGGGGTCGGCGCACAGCGGGGTCAGGGCACAGCGGGGTCGGGGCACAGCAGGGTCGGGGCTCAGCGGGGTCAGGGCACAGCAGGGTCGGGGCACAGCGGGGTCGGGGCACAGCGGGGTCAGGGCACAGCGGGGTCAGGGCACAGCGGGGTCACCCGGCGCACAGCGGGGTCCGGGCACAGCGGGGTCGGGGCACAGCGGGGGCGGGGCACAGCGGGGTCGGGGCACAGCGGGGTCAGCGCACAGCGGGGTCGGGGCACAGCGGGGTCGGGGCACAGCGGGGTCAGGGCACAGCGGGGTCGGGGCACAGCGGGGGTCGGCGCACAGCGGGGTCGGGGCACAGCGGGGTCGGGGCACAGCGGGGTCGGGGCACAGCGGGGTCGGCGCACAGCGGGGTCGGCGCACAGCGGGGTCGGGGCACAGCAGGGTCGGGGCCCAGCGGGGTCAGGGCACAGCGGGGTCGGCGCTCAGCGGGGTCCGGGCACAGCGGGGTCGGGGCACAGCGGGGTCGGGGCACAGCGGGGTCGGGGCACAGCGGGGTCGGCGCACAGCGGGGTCGGGGCACAGCGGGGTCGGGGCACAGCGGGGTCGGGGCACAGCGGGGTCGGGGCACAGCGGGGTCAGCGCACAGCGGGGTCGGGGCACAGCGGGGTCGGCGCACAGCGGGGTCGGGGCACAGCGGGGTCGGGGCACAGCAGGGTCGGGGCCCAGCGGGGTCAGGGCACAGCGGGGTCGGCGCTCAGCGGGGTCCGGGCACAGCGGGGTCGGCGCTCAGCGGGGTCCGGGCACAGCGGGGTCGGGGCACAGCGGGGTCGGGGCACAGCGGGGTCGGGGCACAGCGGGGTCGGCGCACAGCGGGGTCGGCGCACAGCGGGGTCGGGGCACAGCGGGGTCGGGGCACGGCGGGGTCGGGGCACAGCGGGGTCAGGGCACAGCGGGGTCGGGGCACAGCGGGGTCGGCGCACAGCGGGGTCGGGGCACAGCGGGGTCGGGGCACAGCAGGGTCGGGGCCCAGCGGGGTCAGGGCACAGCGGGGTCGGCGCTCAGCGGGGTCCGGGCACAGCGGGGTCGGCGCACAGCGGGGTCGGGGGGCACAGCGGGGTCGGCGCACAGCGGGGTCAGGGGTCGCCAGCCCACCGTACCTAGCAGGGTGTCCTCAGGGTGCAGGTCCGCCAAGGAAGGCGCCAGGGGCGAGTTGATGGCATTCTTGCCTTCTTCCTGCAGGTCGCTCACTGCGGGGGAGAGAGACACTGTTAGTGCGTGGAGACACGGGCACCGCGGCCTCGGCATGGCCGGGGACAGGGCGGCCCCCGCGCTGGGGGGACAGGGCGGCCCCCGCGCTGGGGGGACAGGGCGGCCCCCGCGCTGGGGGGACAGGGCGGCCCCCGCACTGAGGGGACAGGGCGGCCCCCGCGCTGGGGGGACAGGGCGGCCCCCGGGCTGGGGGGACAGGGCGGCCCCCGCGCTGGGGGGACAGGGCGGCCCCCACGCTGGGGGGACAGGGCGGCCCCCGGGCTGGGGGGACAGGGCGGCCCCCGCGCTGGGGGGACAGGGCGGCCCCCGGGCTGGGGGGACAGGGACGCCTCCGCGCTGGGGGACAGGGCGGCCCCCGCGCTGGGGGGACAGGGCGGCCTCGGCACCTGCCGGGGGCAGAGGGAGCACAGCCCGGCTCCCAGGCCCGTAGCAAACACTCGTCATGCTCGTCACCCAGACAAAGTCTGCGGGAAACTGATCTGAAGCCAGAACATGTTCTGCAGCTCCCCCCGCCCAATACCCGCTCCCCCCGGCCACCGCCACGGCCCTGCTCCGAGGAAGCCCTGACTCAGTCACAGAAGCTCCTGGAGGCTCCGTGGTGCCCGGCTCTGGTGGACGAGCGTGGTCACAGCCTCAGGGCCGAGACCGCAGGGCTCCGGGCACGGGGGGCTCCGGGCGCGGGGGGCTCCGGGCGCGGGGGGCTGTGGGCGCGGGGGGCTCCGGGCGCGGGGGGCTCCGGGCACGGGGGGCTCAGGCGCGGGGGGCTCCGGGCGCGGGGGGCTCCGGGCGCGGGGGGCTGTGGGCGCGGGGGCTGTGGGCGCGGGGGGCTCCGGGCGCGGGGGGCTCCGGGCGCGGGGAGCTGTGGGCGCGGGGAGCTGTGGGCGCGGGGAGCTGTGGGCGCGGGGGGCTCCGGGCGCGGGGAGCTGTGGGCGCGGGGGGCTGTGGGCGCGGGGGGCTGTGGGCGCGGGGGGCTGTGGGCGCGGGGGGCTGTGGGCGCGGGGAGCTGTGGGCGCGGGGGGCTCCGGGCGCGGGGAGCTCCGGGCGCGGGGGGCTCCGGGCGCGGGGGGCTGTGGGCGCGGGGGGCTGTGGGCGCGGGGGGCTGTGGGCGCGGGGGGGCTGTGGGCGCGGGGGCTGTGGGCGCGGGGGGCTGTGGGCGCGGGGAGCTGTGGGCGCGGGGGGCTCCGGGCGCGGGGAGCTCCGGGCGCGGGGGGCTCCGGGCGCGGGGGGCTGTGGGCGCGGGGGGCTGTGGGCGCGGGGGGCTGTGGGCGCGGGGGGCTGTGGGCGCGGGGGCTGTGGGCGCGGGGGGCTGTGGGCGCGGGGGGCTGTGGGCGCGGGGGCTGTGGGCGCGGGGGGCTCCGGGCGCGGGGGGCTCCGGGCGCGGGGGGCTGTGGGCGCGGGGGGTTGTGGGCGCGGGGGGCTGTGGGCGCGGGGGGGCTGTGGGCGGGGGGGGGGGCTCCGGGCGCGGGGGGCTGTGGGCGCGGGGGGCTGTGGGTGCAGGTGAGCGTCAGTGTGAGCCCATCGCTCCCCCAGAAGGTCTTCCCCTGCGGGAAGGGGTGGGGAGGGCAGGGAGGGGGGCGGGAAGGGGTGGGGGGGGCAGGGAGGGGGGCGGGAAGGCGTGGGGAGGGGGTGGGGGGGAGAGAAAGTGCTTCCGGCTGGAGAGGGAGCGGTTCTGACGGGGTAAGGGGTCACAGGAAGCAGCAGTCTGCCCGGCCAGCCGTGAACATCAGAGGTCACACTGAGCAGGCCAGGCCTCATCGGGGAGAAATGCTCTGGGCCGCCCAGGCTCCGGGCCAGCGGCACGGCCAAGCGGCTTGTTACGCATCCAGCCCTGAGGTTCACCGGGACCCGAGCCAGGAGAAGGCGTCCCCGCAGACCCAGGGCCAGCCGCCAGCCAGCTGTCTGCGCCAGGGCTGTGGTCAGAGCCCGGGTCCCAATCTCACTCTGCCACCTGCCAGGGAGTGGCCGGGAGCAAGGCCGCTCCCCTGCTAAGTCCCAGCCCCAGTCTGTAACGCGGGAGGGCACAGTGCCCAGCTTCGGGGGCACCGAGGGCTGTGAGCCTGGGAGCACTCTGCCCGGCCGGGGGCGGCTGTGAGGGCGGCGAGGGCACACAGGCCTGGGAAGGGGCTGCAAACCGGGGGATGAGGATGAAGAGGACGGTCCTCACCCCGGGGAGAACCACGGAGGGCTTCCTGGAGGAGGCAGCCTGGAAGATGCCGAGAATCCGGAGAAGGGACGTGGGACTCTGTGCAGCACTCGGGTGCCTGTCAGAGCTGGACTCCCCGGCCGCGCAGACGCGGAGCCAGCCCGGCTTCTCTGGGGAGCCCCCGGGGAGGAGCCTCCCGCCAAAACCTGATGACCGTCTTCTGAGGTCAGGCCAGCAGCCGGAAGGAGGGGCCCCCGAGCCCCGGTTCTCCCCGCGGCCCCTCACTGCCCGCCGGGCGGCTCTCCATGCGTCCAGGAACGCCTGGGTCTGACCGGCCCCGTCCACACGCCAAAGGGCAGCACTTCAAAGGCGGAGGCCCAGCGCCCTGAGTCACGGACGAGGCCGGCGCCTGCGGGCTGCCCAGCGGCGTGGGCGTCAGCGGGGCCGGCTCTGCGCTGGGCTGGGGGCCATCGCAGTGTCTGCGCCTGGTCTGCCACGAAGGCCCGGTACCCAGCCCAGCGCGCGGAGGGCGGGGCCCACGCATTGCCAGAACCCCCTCCCGCTGGGCCGCACGGTGGGCTCGGGGCTGGGGATGCCCGGGGGTCAGAGGGGAGGGCAGGGCAGGAGAGAGCCAGGGAGAGCATTCCACAGGCCCAGTGCCCGCCTGGAACGGCCACTCCTCCTGCGGGCCCGGGGGCCGGCCGCGTCACCAGATCTTAGGAGTTTTCAAATAAAGCTGGGAGTTTGGAGCTTTGTGTGGAACCTCCTAACTGATAAATGTGAGCACATAATTCAAGTTCTGTGGACCTGCTAGCATTTCCTGAGCACCTACTACGCGCCAGACACCCTCCCTACTGTCCATCCACCTCACTCCTAACCACGCGCGCGCGCGCGCGCGCACACACACACACACACTCTCCACCGGGTCACAAAGCCTCTCCCAAATGGTGAGTCTCTGAGGGAGCGGCTGGCACCTGGGAGAGGGGACGGCGTCTGAACCTGGCTCTACCTCATCTTGCATGTCACTATCCCCAGTTCAGCCTTACCCAACCTCGAGCCTCAGCTCGCTGGCCCCCTCCTCCAGGCAGCCCTCCTGGTGCTCCACCCCCACCCCCAGACGCCTTTCTGCCCAGCTGAGGCCACACAGCCCTGTCACCATCTCTCTCCCGGACCCCTGCCCACACCGTGCGAACAGTTCCTGCACACAGTGGGTCTCTCCGCGCAGGAGCAGCGGGGCGAAGGGCTAGAACCCGGAGCCAGTCTGCGGGGCTCGGGTGGCGGCTCGGCCACTGGCGGGCGGGGTGATGCCCAGGCACCCGGGGCTCTGTGCCTCCGTTTCCATGGAAAGAGACTGGCTGGCGGGCAGCAGCCGGTGGCACACGCTGGCCCTCGGCGTCTGCAGAGGAGACGGATACCTGTGTGTCTCCAGATCTCTCTCCATCCCCCACCCACAGCCTGGCCAGGCTGGCACAGCTCCTCTCCCTCCGGCTGGGATTCAGCCTCATAAAACGGAAGAAAGAGGCTCAGGAACCCGGAAACCTGGCCCCCAAAAGCGTCCCGCAGAGCCGCCCGGCACCGGGCCTGGCGGGAGGCTCCGGCTCTGAGCCGTGTTTAATCTCTTCCTTTGTGGCTTTCCCTTCGTGTATTTATACCCGCTCCCTCCAAAGGGCGCTTTTAGGATCGCTCTTTGTTCTCCTTCCTCTGACGCTATGGAAAGAGGCCGGCTCCGGACCAGACTGCGGGGGACACAGCCATCGGGGGGCACCGCGGCCTGGCTCCAGGGCACCGGGCAGCGAGGGGGGCATGACACACCCAGCACAGCAGGGCGCAGGGAGCTGGCGGGGGCCAGCGAGAATGAAGAGGCCGGAGCGGAGAGGCTCCGGGTGCTGACATTTTCCCGGTGACATTTCCACATGGCGGGGCCCTCTGTCCCCAGCGGGCTGTGTCCCGCGCTCGGCGTCCTGGTTTTCGCGGGGAGAGGGTTCCGAGGCCCGGCTGGACCGGGACCGCAGAGAACACGCCAGCAAACGCGGCTCCCGCCGCCCCTGCGGGAGCCGGCCACGCGGGGCCCAGCCTCCAGACACACCGCTCTGTCACCGCGCCTCCCCCGGGCTCACGGCTCAGAGTGGTCAGTGACAGGAGGGCCAGCACGTGGGCCCCTCCTCCGCCCCCGCCCGCCCCCGTCCAGGTCCCACGAGAGCTCGCACTGAAAGTCTGGCCAGCCTCAGCCAGCCTGGGAGCCTCAGCCAGCCTGGGAGCCTCAGCCAGCCTGGGAGCCTCAGCCAGCCTGGGAGCCTCAGCCTGCGGGTCTGAAAGGCCTCAGCTGCAGGCCAGCCGGGCACCACGCCGGAGGCCGGGGACTCGGGGGGAGGCCCCTCTGCAAGGAGGGTCCCTCGCCGGACGGCTGCCCGTGGGCCGGGCACTCAGCACTGGGCCGCAGCCAGGCACAGAGCGTCCGGCGTCCAGGAGGCTGAAGCGCAGATGCAGAAGGCGGAGCTCAGAAGCCTCCAAGACCAGCCTCGGCCGGAGCCTCGGCCCTCCCTGCCCTCCGCCCAGGAGCGCGGGAGGTGAGAGCCACGGAGGAGCGGTCTGCGGGGAGAACGGATGAAAGACCGAGTGGACGCTCGGTGTCGGCGTTTCCACGTGAACCCGGCGTGCGGAACCCGGGACAGGGGGGCCTGCATCGTGACGGACCCGGTCCCAGGTGCTCGGACGGAAAGCAGTGGGTCAGCTTATCACATCGCCTCCGAGAGCAGTGAGGGGCTCGGGCCGGAACGGCGGTCGGAGCCGAGGAAGCCGGGCGGGCGGCTGTGCTGGCCTCACCGGTCCGGGCTC